TGCCCCACATTCTGTCTAAACCACAATATGATGCAAGAAACCACACCGGTATATGTATAGCTGATTCACTTTGCTGTACAGCAGAAACTAGCATAGCATTTTTAATCAACTGTACTCCACTAAAAATTTAAAAAAAAAAGAAAAGAAATGACGCCAATTTTTTTTTCTTTTTTTTTTTCAGAACGCGGACCTCTCACTGTTGTGGCCTCTCCCGTTGCGGAGCACAGGCTCCGGACGCGCAGGCCCAGCGGCCACGGTCCACGGGCCCAGCCGCTCCGCAGCACGTGGGATCCTCCCGGACCGGGGCACGAACCCGCGTCCCCTGCATCGGCAGGCGGACTCTCAACCACCGCGCCACCAGGGAAGCCCCACGCCAAATTCTTGTAACAAGAAGTCATGAGCTCCCCAGCTCCTTATGCTTGTTGCGTCCAGGAAAGATCAGTAAAAATATTGAGCATGGTGATCGGGTATGTTCCTGGACGCCAGAGCCTGGATCAAGGTTGGAAAGCACCCACGCCAAAAATAGTGCCACCAACACCACCTACCCTACCACCCCATCCAATTTTGGGCCACTCTGGAGCAGAGGAGAAGTGCTGCATCTCTACAACCATCACTACCAGCATGAGTTCCCTCTGCTGCCTCAACACCCCTGGGGGTCAGCTGCAAACACACCACAACGCTCCTAAGCCCTATCTCTCGCCTCCACCAGGCAACAGTAACAGGTAATTCTCAACAAGTAGAGAATTTCCCTTTACTGGCTAGTACAGAAGTACTTTAGTATTTAAAAAACAGGTTTGACAATACAGCTACGCACCAACTGAAAACCAGCCCTGAGGATTACCAATATGGAATAATAACACTATGTTGAAACATTTTTGAAATAAATGAACCATTAAACTGACCATCTGGAAGATAGTATGGAGGGTTATCCAAAAGGTATCCATTAAAAAAACTTCAATTTATAAGTTATTAGGACATAGTAACAAACTTGCTCCAATTAGTATCTATCCTCCAAAATCTACCCTCCACCAGCCAGATACAATTTAGATCCCTTCTGAAGGAGAGAATGTCATAATTTAAAAATGGGAAGTAGATCATGGACCTTCTCTTGGCTACACTATGCCAAAGCTTACGGGTTTCAGAGGGGACCACAAATCAAACTCGTTCCATGCATCAGTAGAGAGGTAGATAGTTGCGCCCCAAGGACACCCCTTTATGCCACCCACTCTGGCTTCCCTTTATCTCCTATCCCACCAGGCCACTGCTGCTGCCACCCACCACCTCATGCAGGCACCTCTCCCCACTCAGGAGATCTCACCCAACTTGAGCTCCCTCACCCAGGCATGGTAGTGCTCTCCTCCCTGCATGGACACCTATCTTGCTTAGCCCCACCTAGATGCTTTTCCACTGAATTATTCAGTAAAGTAGGAAGGAAGCAGAGTCCTTATAATTTTAAATGTACTTGGGAAATACCTCAAGGAACTTTTGGGAGGTTCACTCCCATTGCTTTATCATCAGCTTGCATAGTTCTCTTGGCATTCTACTGAAAACAATACTTTCATGGTTCCTCCTAAGCCCTGGACAAAGTAAATGAATTTTTCTTTCTCTTTACCTGTTGTCTTGAATCTACCCAGAGAGACCTCCCATTTGCTCCCTTTGAACAATGCCCCTTTTAACATTAAATATCCTTTTACATGGTCTCATGTACCTAAAATGTCTTCTCCCACACCAGTTTGCTTAATGAGTACCATCACCAATCTAAAGCACACCCTGGAAGCCCACCTACTGGCAGAAGGATCCTAAACAAATACAAAGAAAGTGAGCACTTAACTCTGACAATTCAGAAAACAAAAGATGCTGACCTCAGACACTAATAGAAATATTGGAGCAATCCTGTCACATCTGGCCTACTACTTAATGTTTCTGCTTTTCCTTTTTCCAGTAAAGAACAACTTCAGAGCCTCAATTTTTTATTCTTGAAATGATAGATAATACTTAACTCACCTAATTTGTTGAGATCAAATAAGGTAATGTGGAAGTGATTTTTATCCATTAAATAATCACATAAATATGATTAGTTAATATTATTATTTCCTTTCTCAAATACTACTGTGGGCCCAAATTGTCAAATTTTAGAATACTCAGAAAATGTGTGCCCCGCTGCAATTGTGAATGACTAGTGATGCAACTTAGGAATCTCAGAAGTATTTTCAATCAGAAAAAATAAGCATACTAACCTCAATGAAAGTCTAGTTGGCAGCAACCTTTAATTCACCTGTTCATTCATCCATTCATTCAATAAATATTTACTGAATACCTACTATTTTCAAGGCACTCTTCTGAGTGCTAGTTAATAAACAGTAAACAAAATAGAGCCCCTCCCTTCATGAGCTTCCGTTCAAATGGGAGGAGACAGGCAACTGACAATCAGTTAGCATGTTAGGTAGTGGTAAAGACTATGACAAATAAAGCAGGGTAAGGGGTTAGAGAGCGTCTAAAGAAAATGGTCAGGGAAGGCTTGTCTGAGGAGGAGACATGTGAGTGGAGATTCGAAGGAAGTGAGCGACAAAACCATGTAGACACCTGAAGGAAGAGCATTCCAGGCTGAGCTGCACAAGAACATCAAAGGCCCTGGGGCTGGGACATACTTCGCATGTTGAGAAATGGCAAGGTGGCCAGCATGCCAGGAGAGCAGTGTGTGGGGGGATCAATAAGGGATGAGGTGAGATAGGTACACACAGGCAGATGATGTATGGCCTTGGAAACCATGCTAAGGAACTTAGATTTGACAGTGGGTGTGATGGGAGGGTTGTGAGCAAGCAAATAACATGTCGCCAGTTCTATGTTGTGATGGGATTACACAAGAAACTGCATGATCTGTATGTCTTCTGTACTTCTTCAATATTTGTATTTTTTTAACTATTTACATCCTCTACTCTGTTGTGACAAATGCTGCTTTCAGACTGAGTAAAATGGATTCTGATAATTGAATACCAGATTTGGTGACATGGAGGCCACCAGTGATCTTGACAAAGGAAGTTTCTGAGGAGTACTGAGGGGCAAACAGCCTAATTGGAATCAAGGGAAAATTGAAGCAGATGACTGTAGAGACAGCAAGTACAAATTTCTAAGTTTGCTAAAAATGGAGCAAAAATGAAACTGAGCCTCAGGGGTCAAGAAAGGAGATGTTCCATTCTGTGTGTATTGTGATGGGGAAAACCTAGTAGAAAAGACTTTTTTAAAAAAAATGATGATCTAGGAAAGGGGAGGGTATTTGAAAGAAGTAAACCTATGAGAGAAGTGAAAAAGGAAAAGATCTAGTCTGCAAAGGAGGAAAAGTTGGCACTAGATAGTAGCAGGAACAGTACATCTTTTAATATGAAGGAAGGAAAGAAAAATATGTGGGGTACAGAGGTAAAAAGGTTGGTAGACTTAGTGATAAGAAGATACAGTTTTCTGGTGGCTTATATAAAAGCAAGAAAGCTGAGGGGGTGAACATGGGGAGGGAAATCTGGAGGCTTGAAGCGAGAGAAAGTATAAAATAATTGTGCTGAATGGCAACTTTGTCTTCCTAGCGCCCTTATTTTCTAAATCATTCTTGACTACTTCGTATAGTAAGCTTTTAGAGGACAAGAAGCTACACTTACCTTGTTTTTTTCTGTATTTAGAAGAGTCATATACAAGGAAGAGATGCATAATATGTAAAGGAGTAGTTGCTATGATGCTGGATGGCCAGGACATTAAAGTTTGCCTAACTGGAGTCTTTGGGCGGGGGGGGGGGGGGGACACAAAAATATGTGACCTTGATTAATTATGAAACAATATGTCACATTTTGGGCAAAAAGAAATAGAAGCATAAGCAGTATATACCACGCACTCAAAAACTCAACAAGCATATACTCACTCATCAGGTGTTTTTAATCCTCTAAGAGTTCAGGGGTGTTACAATGATTACTTTTATTTAAATCACACTGACAGGCTGAGCACCTGGTTACTTCAGTCACATAATTAAGCTTACATCTCAGTACTACCAGTTAGCTTACTTTCTATTTTATGATCTGAAAATGAATCTTATAAGGTCAAAAATTCAAATGCACCTGTTGTGGTTTTTTTAACTTCATTTGACATTTTTTTTTAACCTACTGAAGGGAATGCTTGCCAAAGTCAGTTTCCTGATTATTCTCCCTGAACTTGGGTGTGGCCAGCCTACACTACCAGCAGCATTACATCTACCTAATTAGAGAACAATAAAGTTGACCTTTGAAAATAAATGCACATGTCAAATATCAGAAAATGTTTTTTCTTCACCTATTTTTAAGGGTAACATTTGTTACTTATGTGTATAAATATTATTACAATTTGGGATTACCCAATCTTCAATAGAATGAGAGCTAAGAATAAATGAACGTTTGAAAATATTTTCACCAGAAAATGAGACTAAATACAATTGTACATATTTTCTACAATTCTGTTTAGCCTCATTTTCTGGTGAAATTTAAGTTCAGCCTCATTTATTAACACTCATGTAAAGAAACTTGAAAGTCAACTAACTAATATTTTCGTGTTTTGTGGTACAGGTTACCTCCACTTGTTCACCTGTTAATACTTCTCCAACAACTTAAAGCTTTCTTATGAAGGATTGTTGTGAATACTGATATCTGCACATGTCTAAAAGGTTCCCAGGTGGACAGCTCTCCTCCATGTCAGCATAAGGCTGGTTTTCCAATCTCTGAGCTAGATGCAGTTGTTCTTGTTTTAAAGGGCAGTGCACGCTGAGGATGTATTTACCCAAGATAGCATTTAACAAATTTGCTGATTTGCTTGTCTGTATCCCCCCTCTAGACGATAAACTGTGGGATCAGGGACTGTGTCCATCTAGCTCTTCTTTGACTTCTCAACCTGACACATAGTTAGAGGTCAATAAAATATATGTTGAATCAATGAAAGTCCCAGCACTTTGGAAAGCGGTTATGAAGCCTTCCACAGCAAACGCCACTTACCTGTGAGATCCAGAGTTCTGTCCACAAAGACCACTGATGCCCTGCCTGTGGCGGTCTTCCTCCTGTTCTTGGCGGGAGCAAAATTGGCCAGATCTGCAGCGATGATCCGACTGAGGGAACCTACAGCAAAACACTCCTCCCGTACCCCTAAATGCTCACACAGGGAACTGAGGCCGGACACCAGGCACCTAATCGTCAGCAGCAGCTCAGGGGTTAGGGTAGTGGCATCCACCTCAGCCAGGTTTCCCAGCCTCCTCTTGTCCGATCGGGCACGGTTGAGGATATGCACATCCTGGGGTAATAGTGGGAAAAGGGAAGCAAAAGCTGGAGTCAAGGCAAGGTGGGGAGCAGCACATGCGAGTAACAACGGGACATGCAGCACCTCAGCCGTGTAGTTCATGTTGCCCATCCACTCACACAGCTTCTCCTCCAGTTGCTCGAACACTGGCTGCTGCCCTTCCAGCTCAGCCGCCGCCGCCGGCGGCACGTGATTAGCCGTGAGGTGGACTGCGTGATTCACAGCCGTGACCACCACACAATACTGGAAGTGACTGCGGCAGATGATGTCCCGTAGGGTCTCCACGGTCCGGCCTTTCAGCAGGCAACTCAACACAAACACCGCTTTGGGCTGCTCGGCTCCGCCACCAACTGCGGCGGGCTCGAACTCCCGCAGGTAACACGCAGAGTTCCCCACCGCCTCCAGCAGCCGTGAGGACCCGCAGCCCCAGTGCAGGCTCTCGGCGCAGGCGGCGTCCAGGTAGACCACGGCCCGTTTCACTTTGGCCAGGACCTGCTCCCAGGCTTGCTGGGTGAAGGTCAGCACGCCTGGGGTGCTCATGGTGGGGATTCGCAGACTCAGGGCACCGAGCCCAGGAACTTCTCTCAGAACTCACAGCTTCCGGGAATTGGGCTCCCAGAGACATTGACAGTCAACACAGTACACGTGAGACGGCCTCCGACTCATCCAGTGTGGGCGCATAGTAATGACGTTACGGAGCGTGATTGGCTAGCGGGGAGACGTCGCGGAAGAATGGTGAGGGCTGGGAATAAACGGGCGGGGCTCCGAGTCTCCCGGGTGCCTCGAAAGGTCGGGGAAGTGGAAAGGAGCTTCCCAAGAAGGAGCTGAGGGATTTTCTTTTCGTCTCCCTCTCTGCTCGGATTATCTTCGCTGCTCCTTGAGAAATCTCAGGAATGATAAATCCTAATTCTAAATATGATATTTTCCTTGGATCTGAACGCATTTCTTTAAAAGTGATGTGTTGCCCAGCAAAACTAGGAGCAGCCAGAGAAGATAAAAACAACCAACTGCTGTGTGATGTTTCTTAGTTTATACATTACTATCACATACATTATTGGACACAAACCTCTAACAGACATAACGGTTTCTCTTTCACTTTCTCCATCTTCCTTCCCTCATCTCATTGGCACTAAATCTTGATCCACTTCAAAAATCCAGAATCCAGCCCTTTCTCCTCATCTATCCTTCCTCTCACTGCCTTAATCCACCGTCTTCGGTCAATTTAACAATAGCAGTGACCCTCCCCCCGCCATCATTTCCCAGTTTTCCATCTCTTCTCCCTTCCATTCAGTTTGCTTCCTACACTAAGCTTGTTCAACCATTTTTCTGCTTAAAATCCTCTCCTGGCCCAGTTGCCTACAGGATACAGCCAGATGCGTTATAATGGCACCAAAAACCTTCATGATTTCTCTATTTCTCTCCAGCTATCCCAGCTTAGAACATTAAACAGCTGCACAATGAAGTCAACAGATTGAGCCCAGAATGTTTTACAGGTTCAGTTCATTCAATCACTATTTATAAAGCACTTATTAAGTGTAATCACTGAGTTAGGCTCCAAAATACAGTGGTTAATAAGATATATTACCTGATCCATGAAAAATTTACACCTCTGCTAAGTACTTGCCATATCTGGGGTAAGTTTTAACATACCTGTTTTCCTTAACATATCTGTTCTGCTAGATGGTGCGCTAGAAGCTTGGTATCCCCAACACTAGAAAATAACAGGTATTCAATAAATGTTTGTTGAATAAATGCTCAGTTCATATCAGTATAATAAATAATATATTCAACCAACTTTTAATGGACATGTACAATATTCCAGACACCGTGTTGGACACTGAGGATATAAATAGAAGTAAGCCACAGTCTTGCCTTCAGAAGAATCTGAAATAAAAGAACCCACACATGTAAAGCAAGCAAATGCAATAAAACATTACAGAAGCAATGTTTTTAATTTTTTGTTTGTTTGTTTGTTTTGCTGCACCATGCGGCATGCAGGATCTTAGTTCCCCAACCAGGGGTCGAACCCCTGGACCAGAGCCCCCTACATTGGGAGCACAGAGTCTTAACCCCTGGACCTCTAGTGAAGTCCCAGAGCAACGTTTTTTTTTAAAAATAATGTTCAAGAGTTATAAAGTGGGAAAAATAAACTCTGACTAAGTGAAGCAAAAAGGGAAGCGGTCAGAAGAAGTTTCATATAGGACATAAGTTTTGAGTTGCCTTCAAAGAAAACCAGGTGTTCACCAGGTGTACAGGATGGGGAGGAGCATTCCTGGCAGCAGAGCAAAGAGTGCAACATGGGGCTTCCCTGGTGGCGCAGTGGTTGAGAGTCTGCCTGCCGATGCAGGGGACACAGGTTCGTGCCCCGGGTCGGGAGGATCCCACATGCCGCGGAGCGGCTGGGCCCGTGAGCCATGGCCGCTGAGCCTGCGCGTCCGGAGCCTGTGCTCCACAACGGGAGAGGCCACAACAGTGAGAGGCCTGTGTACCACAAAAAAAAAAAAAAAGAGTGCAGCATGAACAAAGGTATAGAAGTATGAAACCCTACAGCATGTTCTCTGGAGCTGCAAATGGTTTAGTATAGCTTGGATGTACTGTTTGAAGAGAGGCCCATGAAGAAATAGGAGCTAGGAACGAGAAAAGAAGGGGACAAGTTTCAAAAAGAATAGAGTGGTCAACAGTAGTGAGTGACAGAAAAGGGAAAAGTGAGATGGAATCTGAAAAAAAAAAGTTGGCAGAATATGAAATTAGGTTCAAAGAAAGTAACTTGGCCCCTAAAATTCAAGGAGGGAACAGTTCTAGGATATAATGAGATCCATAGTGTGGCCCTAAATGCAGACTGCTGATGTGGATGAATGAAGATTGTTGAATAGTTAGATTCTAGGAGATCAAAAAACAGATGAGCAGAATGTGCAAGTTACTTGTTATGATGCCAAGTGGTAAAGGAACGGAAGACTCTGTACCAGACCCCAACATCATCTGTGAATAAGGGGAAATGAAGAGAGAGAGGCAGAGGTGGTTAATAAGGAGGTATGCACTGGCAAGGAGGAGGATTTTCAAAAGAAAGTGGCACCATAACAGTCTGGTAGTGGCCCACCAGAGCAAAGGAAATGGCAATACTTCCTCCAGGCTCCATAGTACAACTGGGTGAAGAAAAATGGTGGGTCTACAGTAGAGAAGGATGAGGATGATGTGCTGTCCCTGGAGGGAAGTTAGATTTCAGTTTCAGTGAGTGAGTAGAGACATCTCTGCTAAAATACTGAGAATGTGAGACATGTATATATAATGGAACAAAGTTAGGGACTGAGAGTTAGATACAGAGTTGGAATTCAGGCCTGAAGAAACTGGGAGGGGATAAGCATAGAGTATGTAAGGGAATGACACTTAAAGAGTTGACAAAAAGTGACTCAGAATGAGGAAATGTGGGGGACTGCATAAAGTTGGGCAATACACAACCTGTACAGCCACATGCCACCCAAAGGGCTGCCAGATCATGAAGGGGCTTATAGGTCACATGGTAGGAAGTTTGGATTTTATTTTATGTGTAACAGGAAACTATTGAAGGGTTTGTGTTACTTGAATTGCAGTGGAGATGGAGAGAAGTAGACAGTGGAGATGGAGAGAAGTAGACAGATTTGGGATATATTTTGTAGGAAGAAGTAACAGGCCTTGCTAATGGATTTTTATAGGCGTGAGAGGGACTCAAGAGGGAAAGAGGGGAATTAAGGATGATTCCTTAGGTTTTGGCTGAACAACTGGTTGGATGGTGGTTATTCATAATACGATGGAGAAGCTTGGGAGAGAATGGAAGTGGGATAGGACAGGTTTGGGAAGGGAATTCACAAGTTCTGTTTTGGGCATAAGTTTGAGATGCCTATTAAATACCCAAGAGAGGCATCAGGTGAAGCATCTGAGTGAGCAGCTTGTCCTGAGCTTAACGATAAATTAAGAATGCAGACAGAAAATTGAGAGTCATGGATATATATCACATAGACAGTATTAAAAGTCATGGGGTTGGATGAAATAACCTTGGGGGACAGCGTAGACAGAAAAGAGAAGAAAACCCAGGAAAAAATTGATTTCTTCATCTCAGACATCATGGCAGAGTTAGATGAATTCTTGCTAAAATTGCATGCTTAAGACCATCAGATGTACCTTATTTAAATGTGATTTGTACTTTTCTGCTCAAAATAGCTAGCAATTATTTTCTATTCTCATAAAATCAAGCCTATCTCCATCTCATTTCTAAGTCCTCTCTGTTCATGATCAACACTTAAGGATTTACTAAGCACTTCCCATTTGCTTGATATTGTAAGAGAGAATCTGGTGAACAAAAAAATTTTGTTTTCACCCTTAAAGAATGTGAAGTTTACATAGCAGTGTAGATGTGAACAGATGATACAATTGCCAGAAACAACTAGCAACATAGAATTTAGTGTTAACATATATCAGAATGCAGAGGAAGATGGATAATTGAGGCTTAATTCCTTGTTGTGGTATCTAGAGACAAAGGAAAACTCTACACATGTGCAGTTTCTCAGGATGTTCAAAGGACAAAAGGCCTAAACCATAACATATGTTGAAGAAAATAATCAATAAACAATTTATAATAGCATAGAAAAGAGTTTTATTTGCCAGACTGAGGACTATAGCCTGGAAGACAGCCTCTCATAATTCTGAGGAACTGCTCCGGAGAAGCATAGTCTTCAGCACAATTTTATGTCTTATCAGAAGAAAGAACATCAAACAAGTCAGGGATACATTCTTACGTGGTTTCAAAAAAGAGAAAAAAGATAGCAGGTACACAGCGAATAGTATGGCCTTGGCACCTGGAAAGTTAGTCTTATCATTGAAGGAGTACCAGCTCTGGTGTCCCAGGAAAGGAGGCATTTAATATTATTTATTTATTTATTTACTTACTTATTTACTTATTACTTTTTGGCTGCATGGCATGAGGGATCTTAGTTCCCTGACCAGGGATCAAACCCACGCCCCTGGCAGTGGAAGCGCAAAGTCTTAACCCCTGGACCACCAGGGAAGTCCCTAATCTTTATTTTTAACATGGACATTCTTTACTTCTGGTCAACGTGCCCTTTTCTTTCATAATTAAAGAAGAGGTACAAAGTATGTTTCATTGGCCACAAACAGGCTAGTTAGCATAAAATTCAAGTTAACTCACGGATAAGCCAGAATGACTTCCCCCTACCTCAATATATGAAAACTTCTTTTACCAGTCACCTCTAATTTGTCAAATGCTTTCACGTTTGAGACTTCATTTTACCTTTGTTATCCTTCCAAGAAGTGGGTATAAAATGCTCTTTTAATATATCAATTTACTGATAAGGAAAGTGAGGAACGTTGAAATGACATAACTAAAGCTGGCAGTGAATAGTATAGGCGAGCCTAAATGCCATATCTATTCAAACCACATCTATGTGTACTTACTATCTACTAAATACTGAGCAAGGCACCTTTATTTGATCTTTACCTCCTCTCATCATTTTAATCATCATCTACCAACCATTCCCTTTCAGTACTTCTCCGAGATACATACATTAAAACTGTTGCTTTGTGGTTTTCGGCTTTTTTTTTTTTTTTTTGCCAAGAACCAGCAGATCTCTCTCACACACACACCAACACAGACACACACACACACACAATGGAAAACAAATATCAGAATATATGGAGTATCGTAGTTTGATAAGGTCATAATTTTATATAATATCTTCAAGCTACCTGTCTTTGAAGTCTCCCCCGGTGGGAGATAAAGATACCTTTAACTACGGAAGTCTATCCAGGCAAAGAACTCAGTTTGGAAGCAAGGAAGGAAGAGGTTTTTTAAGAGTGGTTGTTAGTGATTTATGGGCTTCTCTGCTTGTGAAAATCTTCATTTTCAAAGCTTAGCTCAAATGCTACCTCCACCGTGAAGGCAATTCTGATGCATCAATTATTATTCATCAATTCTTTAGTTTAAGTAATGCCTTGAAAGACAAGCTCATTTCAGGCAGCTGAAAGGAGAAAGAGGCTCTTCAGCAAAAGGCAGTTGGTTCTCCCATGAAACCATCATTACAGACTCATAGAATGATAAATAGAAACATAAACAGACAGGACTGTGAGTGAGTGCCTTATGACACTCTCGAGCAGAATGTAAAATCTTCACTTTGTTACTGTCAGCAGAGGCCAAGAAGATCTCCTAAGTGCTAGGCAACACACCAGGAATTAGAACGACACATAAGAAGATGCCCTGTTTGAGGGAGGATTTGGTGAAGTCTTAGGAAAACAGATATGTAGTCAAATAATTACTATATGATGTGATAGACACATGCCACGGAATCAGCATACTGTGCAGAAAGGAATGATTAGCTCTGCACTACCCACTCCAGAATAACTCTAATCTCATCTATATATCCTCTCTCCCTCACTCCACTCCAGCTACATTTGGGGTTCTTTGAATGCTCCAAGTACGCTTCTGCCTCAGGGTTTTTGCACTTCCTATTCTCTCCACCTGATAGGGCTTCTCCCAGAAATCCACAACGGTTTACTTCTCTCCATTCAGGTCTCTACTTTTGAACAACCTCATTAGAGTGGCTTTCCCCGACCACTTGATATAGAATTGCATCCTATCCCTCTTCATCACTTTGCTCGGGGTCCCCCTTTCCTGCTTACCCTACTTTATAATCCTTATCACTATCTGACATACTGTACATTTATATGTTTATTGTCTGTCTCCCTTTCATTAGAATGAAAGCTTCACAGGAGGAAGGACTTTGTTTTACTCATTGCTGAATCTACATAGTTTAGAAGAGTCCTTGGCACTTGGTAGGCCCTCCATAAGTATTTATAGAATAAATAAAGAAATGGGGTTCAGGAAAGATTTCAAAAGTTGACTATATCTCAACAGACTTTAGAAATACACAAGGGATTATCTATCCCCTTCAGATAAGGGAGGCTGAGAATAGCAATAGAGGAATGTTCAAAGGTTAGGGAGATTAAAACCACACGATTTGTTTAAATAGCATGAGATGGTGTGGCATTGGTGGTGTAAAAACACTTTGTGCTTCTATTAGGACCCACCTTTCCCTTGTAGGTGAGTTAATTGTTTACCACCCTTCTGCCTTTCTCAATAAATTGAGAGCTCTCAAGGGCAGGGGCTGTGCTTTACTCATACTTTTATTTCCTAAGTTCTTAAACAGCAGATATTCAATAATTGTTAAATAAATAAATGAAAAAATATGATGAAGCACTTAAAAAACGAACATAGTTTGACATACACAAATATGGAAAGGACCTCCAAGACAGTGCTGAGAAAAAAAAGAAACAACCAAACCAACCAATCAAATAAACAAATCTACACAATTATACATACAATATTGTACCCCTTAAGACTCATTCATCTCAGGTTCTTTCACCAAAACAATACACGTGTAGCAAATATGTATAAAATTTCATAATGCTGCACATGAAACAGAAAAACAAGGGCTACTTCTGGAAAGGAGGGTAGTGGATGAGAAGGTCTTTGACTTTTTGACAAAGAGAATGCATTATTCGTTTTTTAGTTTGGCTTTTGTTTGCTGTTAAAATTAATTTTTCAGGAAAGTGGGCATGAATTATGATTTCTTCTTTAATGAGAAACAGGGACTGATAAGGCGATTCTGGATCAAGCCTGATACAAGTAAAGAATGAAACAAGGCCTTCCAGAAGATTTTAAAAAAACAAAACGAGAAAGCAAGCATCACACGCACTAAACAACGACGGTGCACTCTCCAGCAAAAGCAATACAGGTTATCAGAAGGAACGTTGGGGGAGGGGAATCGTTGCCTACGTAAGACGTCACGGGAGAAAGCCACGCTAAAAGGCAAGCGAGATCCCGTGGAGGCGGGGCCAACTACGGTGCGCAGGCGCAACCAGGCTCAGGTGGCCGCCGCCGCGGAAGCGAAGCCACCTAGAGACTCCGCGCTGCTCGGGTGCTGCTGCGCGTGCGCGGGCGCGGGCGGAGCGGCGCCGGAGTCGTGTTCTTTGCCGCCTCCGCCGCCGGGGCGACCTACCCCGGATTTGAGTCTTGCGCCTTCTTCGTTCGCTCGCCGGCGGGTTCGCGCCCCTCTCGAGACCCCGGGCAGCGAGGCTGGGGAAGGGTTGGAGGGGGCTGTTGATCGCCGCCTTTAAGTTGTGCTCGGGGCGGCCATGTCGGCCGGCGAGGTCGAGCGCCTAGTGTCGGAGCTGAGCGGCGGGACCGGAGGGGATGAGGAGGAAGAGTGGCTCTATGGCGGTACGGAACTTCCTGTCCCTTCTTTCTCTCCCGGGTTCTCTCAGGCCTCCCTTCCCGGCCCGCAAACGGCCGGCGTCCTGGGGCCCTCTCGCCGCCGCCTGGGGCCTCTCGCATGGAACCTCATGCGGCCTTAGGCCGAGCTCGGCGTGCGCGTCCCCCGCCCCCCTTGCCTCCTCCCGCCCAGCCCACGCCCCCAACACGCACCCACCAGGTGGCGGCTGGGACCCCGCTGGGCAGGGGGCTAGGGGCCGGGCCCCCAGCCTCGCCGTCCACTCCGCCCGGGCTTCTCGGCCGCCTCGCCTCTGTGCTCTTTTCCTCTTGTTTTCTTATATCGATTCTAAGCTGTGTTAGTGTGTCTCTTCTTGCCCCTTGACTGTGAGATGCCCTTCCTGTCCCAGGAACAGTCATTCTGTAATAATAGCTAAATAAAGTTGATGCTGTAAAACTAACGTCTTGTTTCTTGATGGTCAGTTTGTATGGAATGCACCTGCAAGGGTACCTCCTTGTGTGAAAGTCGTGCTTTAAAAATAATTAATTAAAAGAGAGAGAGAGAAAGAAAGAGATGGAATACATTATGGCCCATAAAGAAAACCCCGAATGTCTCCTGTATTAAGGTGAAGTTTTTCTTTTTTAAGAGACTGCGTTTTAACCCACATAGAAGTACCTCATGTCCCTTAGGCTTATGGTTTTCAGTATCATAAAATTAAGTTTACTGCATCTTTTACTTCCCCCTTGAAAGGGACATCTGGCTTTTAACTTCCATGAAGTCACAGTCCTTTCTTGTCTGTTGCCGGTACTAGATTTGAAAGTTAATGTTTGTTCCTTGCCTAAAATGCGTATTCTTGATTGTCTTTAGGATAGTTTAGTAAAAGTGCACGTTTGGGCACCACGCAGCTCCTTGATAATGTGACTTCGACAAACTTTGATTTTGATAAACTTGTAAAATACGTTGTCTTTGGCGGCAAGATTTAGCATTCGTAGTACTGTTTGAAATGTAAATGTATAGGGTTTCTTTTACAAAGGTCTAGAAATCTGTAATACTTCTTAAGTTTATTTTTATAGAAGTAAAGTCTGATTTTTTTTATTTATTTTTCATAAAAGACATACCTTGTTAAGTCATTATAAGGTGATCTAACTTTGGATGTGCTTATAGGCCCATGGGACGTGCATGTGCACAGTGATTTGGCAAAGGACCTAGGTTAGTGCTTGTGATGATCACTTCAGATTTTCATAATACTGGTTTCTTTAAGAGTGGTTTGTTTGTTAATTTTATTTATTTATTTATGTATTTTTTTTGGTAGATGAAAATGAAGTTGAAAGGCCAGAAGAAGAAAATGCCAGGTTAGTGAAATTTCTTGTTGATGCTTTTGCAGATTGTGCGGTACAGTGCTTCTGTCGGCAGATTGTCAGAATTATTTTGTTATAATCATTGGTTTGATTACATTTTGACAAAGATAGCAAGACACTGAGTCCTTTATAGTTTATTACTATTTCAGAATGTAGTCTTATACCAATTCTGTTTATTTGCTAGTAGCCCAGGGGACAAAATGTTTTTGAAGTAAGGGTTTGGATATTTTTCACTATTAAGTAACTTTGTACTCTTAAATGAGCTCAATAGTGGAGTATACAGTATAACCATCAGACTACTAAGAAAAAAAGTTTTAACTTAAAAATTGTTTTTAAATAAAGAATTCCTTGGGTAACTACTTTTACAACTTAATATTTTTGATGGTGTAATGCATTGTGGTTATAATTTCAATGTTTCGTATTTATTTAAAATTCGAAGTGGAATTAATGAATTTGTTATAAGATTGATTGCCTTTGTTAGATTACTAGAAAGGTCTGAGTATCATTTACAGAACATATCAGGGAGCCAGAAACTTATTCTAAATTTCAGAATAGCTCATGGGTACAAGTACATGGATATGCTGACATCACTGACCAGATGCCTTAGTGTCTTATAGCGGGGGAGGCGTGATTACAAAAAGGACTTTTAAAGAATATTTGGGTTTAAAAAGAGGGGGAGGTACGACTTCACACCCACTAGGATGGCTGTAATCAAAAAGACAGATAGTTAACAGGTGCTTGTGAAGATACGGAGAAATTGGAACCCTTATACACTGATGGTAAGATTGTAAAATGGTGCAACTATTATGGAAAACAGTCTGATAGTTCCTCTAAAGGTTAAACGTAGAGCTACCATATATAGCAGCATTATTCATAATAGCCAAAAAATGGAAATAACCCAAGTGTCCATCAAATGGATAGATTTAGGAAAGTGGTATATCCATACAGTGAAATACTATTTGGCAGTAAAAAGAAATGAAGTACTGATATGTGTTACAACATGGATGAACCTTGAAAACATGCTAAATGAAAGAAGCCGGTCACAAAGAACTACATTTTGTGTTTCTTATTATATTAGATGTACACAATAGGTACATCCAAAGAGACAGAAAGTAGTAGTTACCAGGACAGGGGAAAATGGAGAGCGACTATAAATATATAAGGTTTCTTTTTGGGGTGATGAAAATGTTCTGGAATTAGATAGATAGATACATACATACACTATTCTGTAAATATACTTAACCTTTCAGTTGTACACTTCAAATGAGTGGACTGTGTGGTACATGAATTGTATCTCAAAGCTGTTATTTTTTAAAAAGTTAATGGAGGGAAGAAGTGAGAAGTGGAAACAGCTCAGGGGGTGCTGAGATTATTGTTCCTTGCTTAAAAATACCCCTATAGGGCTTCCCTGGTGGCGCAGTGGTTGAGAGTCTGCCTGCCGATGCAGGGGACGTGGGTTCGTGCCCCGGTCTGGGAAGATCCCACATGCCGTGGAGCAGCTGGCCCGTGAGCCATGGCCGCTGAGCCTTTGAGTCCGGAGCCTGTGCTCCACAACGGGAGAGGCCACAACAGTGAGAGGCCCTTGTACTGCAAAAAAAAAAAAAACAAAAACCCTATGTTGGAAGATTTTTTTTGTTTTTATTTATTTATTTATTTTATTCATTGCTATATCATCTGAAATCTTGTCATTTAGGGTTTTTTGGTTTTTTGTTTTTGTCCGCCTTTGGTGGCATGCGGAACATCCCCCTGGGATCAAACCCCCGCCCCCTGCAGTGGAAGCTTGGAGTCTTAACCACTGGACTACTAGGGAAGCCCTTGTCATTTAGTTTTGAAATGGATATATCCAACCCAGTTCCTAACCCTACTTTTAGTTAACCACAGAGTTGGGATTTGTGTAGTTTAATAGTTATGAAAGTAATATTTCTTCATACCCTGATTTTTCAGTTGATCAAGAAATTAATGATAACAATCAGATACACATTTTTGTGAACTAATTTTTATTTTACTTTGTTAATATTCTTGGCTATAATTCTTGAAGCTTTTTTTCTGATTAAATATTCCTTAATTCCTCAATACACAGCTTGATTAAATTGATTGGAGAGGAACCCTTCTCCCTTCCCTATCACTGTGAAAATGTCTTCATATTCCTTATTAACATTTTATTTGGAAAGCTATTAAGTTTATTTCATCCAAAGGAAAAGATCTACTCTTAAAATGTTATTTTTCTAGATAAAGCTTATAATTTTATCATGTTTCTAGTGTTTTAATGGTGATAGAGAATTAAAACTTTCAAAAGTCTATTGGGGAAGAGAGCTCTGCCAAACCTGTGTTCTACTATCCAGTGCAGTACCTACTTCGTTGCCCTAACTGAGCCGAGTCTTTGCTATTAGAGTTTTCCCCAGCTTCTTTGTGATTGGCCCATTGTTAAAACTGTTCTTAACCATTGCACTGTGCTGTCTCTGATTGTCTTGTTTTATTTCAAAGTTGTGGCTAAACATACTGTTTTGTGACATAAAGAACAAGCTCAACTTACATCTGAGAAATGTACTGAATAATTATAATTGCATTTTTTTGGGGGGGAGGGTCAAGCATTAGAACTATGAAAATTTAACAGATAAGTTTTCAGGTTTTGTCCTTCATTTTGCTTTGTGCGGAGATTGTGTTACAGAATACCACTATAGAGATTAAATTGGTTTATATAGAAACTGCTTGACAAAAAGTGAAGTTTAGAAGAGATTAGCAGAAACCCAGTGAAAACAGCTTTGAACTATATCAACATCTGGACATTTTCCCTAGAAATGCTACTAAATAATTGTCAGTTGCCTTGTATTTCAATTTCTTCATCTATAAAATGAGGTTAATGGTTAATTCCCACTTTCAAAATCATAATTATTAAAAATATAAGGAACCATTTGCACCGTGGTACTAGAAGTTTTATTTCATGGTTAATGGCCATACGCTTGAGTCTCTTGAGAATAAGTGTTTATTGTTATATGTCAATTTTGTTGTAACAGGGCAAATTCAAGTATTAACTGGCTTTAAAAAAAGTAATTATTTTTTAATGCATCAAAATTAGGTCTGGAGCTCCTTAGTGTCAAATTGGAAGGCAGTCTTTACATGAAAGTAAACTTTTTTTTAAATCTTAAAATTTGTTTTTTATACAACAAAGGACATATATCCAATAAGACAGATGAAACAGAAAACTAGGAAGAAGCATGTGTGTTAACTCAGTACTGAGTCAACGTCATCATACTGCACATCTGAGTTCCTTGGGCACCAGGGAAAAGAGGAAACTGTGTGTTACATAGCCCTTGGCAATTCCTAGAGTACCTTGAAGTTCAGTGTAGTTTTAGGATAAATAAAATTGATTAAGTATGATGCATATTTTAAAAATGTAAAAACTCAAATTATACCCCACCGTCAAATTGCAAATTTGGCCTCATTAACAAATTGTGGAGGCAATTCCATTCTACTTCCAGTATTGAGTGTACACGTTTTATGTAGGGCATTAGGAATAGCAGAATAGGACAGGCAGTTTTTACCATCTTTTTTCGTCTCTGGTGGAGACAGTAATTTCAGGAAACTATCAGACATAGATTAAAAATACTAGTATGCTCCGTCTGTACTTCAGAAAAGTAATACCAGTTGTGTACTTATTTTTGTTGTTTATAGCGCTAACCCTCCATCGGGAATTGAAGATGAAACTCCTGAAAATGGCGTACCTAAACCGGTAACATAAGGCTTTGAGATCTGGTTACTTATCTGTTTAAAATCTTTATCAATAGCTTCCCGTTCACTTAGGAAGAAAACCAGAATTTAACATGACTGCCAATATTTTGCATAATCGGGCCCCTTTTATATCTCCTGTGTCATCTGGTGCCGTCAAAAAAGTGTAACCATGAGAAGAAATAGTGGGAGGAGAGTTCAGATGAAATGGGGCATGTGCAAAGGCTTGATGTTTGTTGCTGCCAAGGAACCCAGTGGTCATAGGTCAATTCGATAGATCATAGTGAGCCTGGTTTTCAAAGCAGACATTGAGTTTTTCAACTCAAGTTTGTCAAGTTTTTTAGCAAAAATTATTTTTTATATAAATGACAGTCTGACCTCATGCCTGTTAAAAGTGATATTTTGGGGGGGTGAACAAATCATCGGTCCCATGAGTATTTTAACGTTTTAATCTTGTAAAAAGAAGGAAATTCTTATTCTGCAAGCTTGAACTTGTATACAAAAAAGTATTTAGCCTTGGTGATCTACTTTTTAAATTTACTATTATGTGACTAAGCACAGAATAGCCTTTTAGAGCCAAAATAAAGCTTTCATAAATGTCCCTACTTTTACTCATAGAAACCAAGTATTCCCTCAATCATTTGCATGCAGGACCTTTTCTATGTGTACATGAATGTCAAGAATAAGTGAGCTGCTTTTTAACTATTTGGTGCTTTTAACGGTGACACTGTGACCCTTAAAATTAGTTGTTTTCCCTTTACCTTCATGTTCTTTTTGCTAAGAATTCCTCAAATATTTTAAAAATATCTTCTAGGTATTTTAGTACATTGCCTTAGATCCTTTGTGCAAGAGGAGCAGTTATAAATAGTAGGAACAAATACATGTGTTGTTTACAAACAGACAGTGTTGAAAAAAGGGTTTACTTCACATTCTTATCCCTTTTTATCATTGCAAAACATCGAAGTTGTAAATGAGTTGAAGTAGGTAGTAGTACTATAACTTTTTCTCTAGAATTAGGTCAAAAAATGCAAAATGGTTACCTTTTCAGTTATTTATATCAGACGTTGAAATGGATTATTGAGTGTATTTTGTGGTTGTTTATGTTGATATAGAAAGTGACAGAGACTGAAGACGATAGTGATAGCGACAGTGATGATGATGAGGATGATGTTCATGTCACTATAGGAGACATTAAAACGGGAGCACCACAGTATGGGTAAGTTGTTTTTAAGTAACAGCTGTGTGCTTAAATCGAAGGTAGTGTGTCTATATCAAACAATTGGTGGTTGAGTCCAGTGGTTTTACATTTTTTCATCTTACCATGATATGAAAGAACTCGTTAAAATTTCACGTGATGAGTTGCTAAGACAGTAGGTAAAAGCTGTTGACACAAGAAAAAAAATACTCGTAACTATCTTTGGTGATGGATGTTAACAAAACTTATTGTAATCATTTTGGCAGTTTATATATATATCAAATCATTATGTTGTTTACCTAAAATTAATACAGTGTTATATGTCAAGTATCAATGTATCTCATGACTAAAAGGCATTTCACCATGAAAATATTTTTTTCTTAAACATAAAGTTAATTAGGTAAAGTTACATGGAAGCAGCAGTTTTTGATTCCTGAAATTGAAATGTTTTTACAAACGAATTGAGTGATACAGATTTTTTTTTTTTTTTTTTGGGTGGTACGCAGGCCTCTCACTGTTGTGTCCTCTCCCATTGTGGAGCGCAGGCTCAGCGGCCGCTTCACGGCATGTGGTATCCTCCCAGACCGGGGCTCGAACCTGCGTCCCCTGCATCGGCAGGCGGACTCTCAACCACTGTGCCACAAGGGAAGCCCCAGATTTTTTTTTTTTAAATTTATTTATTTGTTTATTTGGCTGCGTTAGGTCTTAGTTGCGGCACGCAGGATCTTCGTTGAGGCGCATGGGCTCTTCGTTGCAGTACGCGGGCTTCTCTAGTTGCATCATGCGGGCTTAGTAGCAGTGCGCGGGCTTAGTTGCCCTGTGGCATGTGGGATCTTAGTTCCCCTACCAGGGATACAACCTGCATCCCTTGCATTGGAAGGCAGATTCTTAACCACTGGACCACCAGGGAAGTCCCCAGATTCTTCAATTAGAATTAGAAAACCTTAATTTGCTGTTTACATCTGTATTGTTCTTACATTTTATTACTTATCCAGACTTCAGTTTAGGTTTTTAATTTTTTTGTCTGATAAAAACAATATCAAAAGTATTTCTTTTTGCTTTTCATAGTGTATTTTTCAAGTGGTTAATTATCCTGTATGCTATTTATGCCAATAGGTTGTCTCAAAGTTTATAGTCTGTAAAGCTGGATCAAGTGAATGGCCTGTCATTGACTCATTGAGCACATAAAGAATCTTACAGAAAGATTGGAAGGGAATAAAGTACATATTGTGATTTTGTCATGGTGGTAGAATATGAGTTGACGTTTTCTCTATCCTTTTCAGATTGGATGTGGTACTAGTGCGTTGGGAATATAAAGTAAACTTTTCATTAATTGCACTATAGTTCATTAAGTAGCCTTATCTGAAATGAACCAATATATACATAAATCCTTTTGAATTTTTAATTTCTTCAGTAGAGAAATTTTTTCAAAAGTTATTTCTAGAAGCTTAAAGGTAATTCAGTTGTCATAATCAGTTTTGCATTATAATAATGACTGCTGATGTAATTTTAAGACCCTAGCAACTTTTTTAGGGAGCAGGTTTGAGAAGAGACTAAATTATTCAAGTTAGGATAACTCTTGATGTTCTCCTCATCCCCAGTTAAAGTAAATAATTAGTGTTGAGCTATAGTATTAGTAAGCCTTTATGCTAATAGGCCTTTATCCGTCTGCATTATGCAGAAGGAACACTTTAACATAATACTATAATAATCAATTGCATATTTAGTAAATACTTATATTTAATATAAAATTATTTGTATTTTCAAGTACAGAACAATTAAAGCAAATGGTGATTACTTTTTATTAATATGACCAATTTTGGGGTGGGACTTGCATGCAAATATTAAATACATATAGACTCCCATAGTACTTTATCTGAACTTTATTTCTTATAACAAAATTTCCAGTTTCATGGATTGAATTATGTTTGCACGTGTTTATTACCTTTAGATTCTAAATTCTTTGAGTGGTTTATGAATTTTCCTATTCCTTACATTGCCTTACATATAGTAAGTAGTAAGTGTTTATTCACTAAATTGCGTGTTAAAAACACAATTGTCTTTGAACTTTTTTTTCTCAACATTGATTACGAAAATTTTCAAACACTCGAAGTTTAAGGAACTGATGTGAACACCCATTTATTTACTCATCACCTGGATTATACAATTTACATTTTGCTGTGTTTGCTTTATCACCTATCTATCTACCTACCTGCCTATCTCCATGCCTCCACCCACTCATCAATCCATCTTTTTTATTTTGTTTTTTTTTTTAAATTATTCATTTATTTAGTTGTGCTGTGTCTTAGTTGCGGCTTGCCGGCTTCTTAGTTGCGGCACATGGGCTCCTTAGTTGTGGGATGCAACGACTTAGTTGAGGCTTGCATGTGGGATCTAGTTCCCTGACCAGAGATCGAACCAGGGCCCCCTGCATTGGGAGCGTGGAGTCTTAACCACTATGCCACCAGAGAAGTCCCCTTATTTTGTATTTTTTATGCATTTCAAAGTAAGTTACAGATCTTTCTGAAGCGTATAAAGCTTGTTTAACCTTAATATCTCAAGATATATCCATTGATAACTGAAAGAAAGCCAGGGAGAAAATAAAATTTGATGAATATTTACTTTGTGCACAGCATTTCAGAGGCAAATTTAAAGAGCAAATTGTTTTCAAGGAACAATACTAAATTGGTTTATTATAAGCTGTTAGAAGGTAAAGACTAGAATTTCTTTTAGGTGACATACTTTTGTTACAGAGTTTATTGTATCTGTAAGTAAGGTATGAGGAAAATCAAATCTTAGGGTAGGAATAACTTACCTTGTATAGAGGAGTGGTTTCTTAGCTGTATCTTTGAAATTCAGCCACTCATTCATTAACACTTTTCAAAGGCAGTTTGTTTGGCACTCTAATAATTGATGATGGGAATATCAACTGTCCTTATTTATCAAAAGTAGTGAGGGAGATAGACATGTGAGCAGATACTTTCCTTGCAGTGTAAGTGCTTGAATAGAAACATGTACAGGGTGATTGGAAAGCTTTGAGAGGACAGTTGCTAAAAGTGCATGTGTTGAAGAGAAGACCCTAGAGGAGGTAATATATGAATTTTTTGGAATAATTCTCGAGACAGAAGGAAGAGGACTGATGATTTTGGCAGAGGAAACTACTTAGATGTAGTGGAAGCATGACTTAGACGAACCACAAGACTGGAGGATAAGGTAGATGAGAGAGGATGCTTGAAACCACAGAAGAGGGGAGTTAGGATGTTTTTGCTGTGCTATCATGGAACCCTTAAAGGTTTTTAGGCAGGTCACATTGTTTGAAAATATAACTCTAGCAGTAGTAGTTGAGATGGACTAGATAGAACTTAGTTAATAGATTTGAAGTAATCATCCAGATGGGATGATAGTCGAAACTAAACCAGCAGCAGTAATATAGGGATAGATGGAAGAATTCAATATATTTGAGTGAATAATAAATGGAAATAACATGGGTAATGGGTTGGTTGTAGATGGAAAGGGAGACAAAGGATTCAGTGACTTGGAGCTTTCTAGAGTAGTTCAGTGTGTGTATATAACAGTGTATTACCATATATGGGTAAGGTGGGAGGAGCAGGTTAAGATAAAATTTTTTGATACATTTACTTTTAAGTTTTTGTAGACATCCAAGGATATAGGATCTAGCCCCTAGAGAAGCCTGAGACCTCATGGTGGGTGCTATTGAACGGTGGTATCAGATTTACTTAAGCGCAGTTTTCCAGACAGCTAAGGTTCTTTACACACAATGAATGTGAAGGCTTGGAGGCATTAAAAAAGAAAAGTAATGTTTTAAAGGTCAGAATGGGGAAGGAAGGAAAGTAGCTGGGTGGGAAGCAAAGAAGTTCATTTAATGAACTATGGTAAGCCTTTTATAAATACTGTTTTGGTTTATCCTTTAGCAGTTCTGTAAGAGGACCATTTGGAGACAGTCCTTGGTTTTTGTATATTGACTTTCGAACAGCTAGGACTTTTGTACATCATATATAGATACCTCAAAGTGCTTTGGCTGTGCTGAATTTAGCTTGTTGAAATGAAGCATCATGCGGCAGGAACCATATTTGTCCAGCTCCTCATCCTCTCTCCTTGGCTTAGAACTATGTGTGATGTATTGCTGGTGCTTAAGCACTTACTAGAGAATTAGTCAATGAGATGATTAAACCTTTCAAGTTGGTAATGATAGTACAACTTGACAGTGACAGTTTATTTTAGGCTCCTTCATACTTCTTGCATTTATAGTAGTGGATCTTTATACAATTATTTGAATATTTTATTGAATATCCTTATTTTTTTAAGCAGAATAACCTAGGTCTCATAAATTTAATACATTGGAGACAAAAGATGGAAATTGTTAGGCAGACCAGAAGCAGTGAGTTTTCACAAGTCCAGTTGAATGACTGGGAGGCAAGGAAGTGAAAACAAGGCATGTAAACTATTTTTCCCTTTCCAGCCAAATTTCTCGAAAGTTTGTTAGAGTGGGGTATTGAGTTAATCGCGGGTAGGTTTTTGAGATGGAAAATTAGTGAGACTTTTAAAAAATATTTTTTTTATCTTTTATTAAGCAAGTGACAGGCTTTTTAAATTAGTTTAAAACATTTTCTAAAATGTTTGAGTTAGTGTCAGTCTACCTAGTTAATATGTGTGTATATAATTTATGTGTACATATTGAATATATTCTGCTTTTGTTTAAGCATCTCAGGATAATTTTTTTGATTTTGCTTTTAGGAGTTACGGTACAGCACCTGTAAATCTTAACATCAAGACAGGAGGAAGAGTTTATGGAACTACAGGTAAAATTTGTATTTGCAGTTGCATCAATAGAAAATAGGGCATATATCTGAATAGGTCATGAATAGATTTTAATAGCTATTACAGCTCAATTAAAAAGAGCAGTTTTTGACCATATATCATAAAATGGGCACTTTTCTATAAATGGCTAGATAATGAATAGTTTAGGTTGTGTGGGTCACATAGGGTTCCTGTCATGTGGGGGGGGGGTTTTGTTGTTGCCGTTGTTTTTTGGTTCTACAACCCTTTCTTACAGCTCACAGACTGTACAAAGACAATGATTTAAAACATGGAAATAAACTTCTTGGTACAGGAATCCCTTATTATAAAAAAGAAGTCTCTAATCTCTCTATTTTATCTTATAGCTACACCATAAACTTTGACCTCACTTTTTATTTGTGGTAACCATTACTACTCTGTTTGGAATCTTGGCCGTATTTAGTGCTAATAGTAGTAAAAAGGCGTCATTGTTTTCTGTTTGTCTCTGGTATCTCTCAGCTTCTTATTAATATAGTTCCTTCACCATTTTGTAATTTTCTAAAGTAGGAACGAAAGTCAAAGGAGTAGATCTTGATGCACCTGGAAGCATTAATGGAGTGCCCCTTTTGGAGGTAGATTTGGATTCTTTTGAAGATAAACCATGGCGTAAACCTGGTAAGATTATTGTGGATTATATCAGTTTCAAAAGATTTTTAGTCTAAACTATTATTAGAAAAGTTTTTTTTAGCATCAGTTTAGAATATTATTTTTTAAATGTAATTTTCATTATCTTAAGCACATGAGTAATAATGAACCTGTATTATTAAATCTTACAGGTGGCCTAGCATTGTATAAAAGTAGACTTGCATATTGTTTTATTATAATGCCAATTCTTTTTTTTTTTAACATCTTTATTGGAGTATAATTGCTTTGCGATGGTGTGTTTCTGCTTTATAACAAAGTGAATCAGTTATACATATACATATGTCCCCATATCTCTTCCCTCTTGCATCTCCCTCCCTCTCACCCTCCCTATCCCAACCCTCTAGGTGGTCACAAAGCACGAGCTGATCTCCCTGTGCTATGCGGCTGCTTCGCACTAGCTAGCTATGTTACGTTTGGTAGTGTATACATGTCCATGCCACTCTCTCACTTTGTCCCAGCTTACCCTATAATGCCACTTCTAAAGGGAGTAATTTTGATCAAAAATTTGTATAGTCCTGTTGCTTTATGGTAGTAATTGGGAGAATTGGTAAAATTAGATGAGACTAATAGAACTCTAAATTTGTTTTTACAGTTTATTATATTTTATGTGCTGCATAAAAATAGAATTGAAATATTCGTACACTAAAAGTGTGTTTTATCTTTAGGTGCTGATCTTTCTGATTATTTTAATTATGGGTTTAATGAAGATACCTGGAAAGCTTACTGTGAAAAACAAAAGAGGATACGAATGGGACTGGAAGTTATACCAGTTACCTCTACTACAAATAAAATTACGGTAATTAGTAAATATTCCAAAATACCCCAGCCTTTTCTACCATCCCAGTTTTGCTCCCTAAATACATCAGTTTTTCCCTATAAAGGTGGTTAAATGCTATATGATAGTTTAAAAATTCCATTTTACCTTGTTTGTTTTTTTTCCCTTCCTTCCCTTTCACAGTTTCATATTAATGATTATCTGATGTTTTTAGTTTCAATTCACAGACTAGCCACAGCTGGTTTGTCTTTATGTGGCCTATCAATTAAAAATTATGTGGTATCTTAATGGGGAATATGTTATTTAACTTAGGCCGAAGACTGTACTATGGAAGTTACACCAGGTGCAGAGATCCAAGATGGCAGATTCAATCTTTTTAAGGTGAATTTTAGTAAATTATCCTTGGTTGCTCTCATTTTTTGTTCTTGAGTCTGCTCCCATACCACTACTCGAGGGACAAGATTAAAGTGGAAATAGCTACCTTTTTTCCAAACCTTCAGCTTCCTGGTGACTTACAAATTTGCTGATTGTTGTTTTATCTCCACTTTTGCAAGCATGTGAATTATAGCCTATTATACTAACAAATGCAAAGTAAAACTATTCTTGCTATATGTTGTGATTTTATTTTGAGTCAAGTGTGTGTTTGCTTGTAGGATATAAAAGTTCATGCCAACAGGCTAAGCACTCATTGTAGATCCCGCTATAATCTTTATCAGAATTGGAGACTTATTTGTCCTAATTTTCTGTTAAAAAATGGTAAGGTAGATGACATACTGTTTATTATCTGTATGAGACTGAAATCATTGGTGTAATGTCTTCTGCAGTTTAAGATGGCTCAGGAATCTTAGGTGTTCTTTGCCAGTCGCCAAGAAAGACTCAACAAAATTAGGATGAAGTCATTGATTTTTTAAAATTAATATTAAAAGGAGCAGGTTTAATGAGGGACTTGCAGGTTGATACTACTTGGGTATCAAGTCTGACTTCTGGCTTCTCCATTCCATAGGATCAGTCCCAAGAATAATAATATATTTTCATACTTGTGTGATACACAGCAACCTACAAACTTTTTTCAAAATCTGATTGTAAACTCTTCTTCCTTTACCTTAATTCTTAATTCTTGATTCTTATATTGAGTGACACTGGGATGAAGACTGGGAGTGACTTTTAGATTGGATTATATACCCAGGGAACTTTTGTGGGCAGGAACTTCTCTGTGTCCCGTTTGGGGCTACAGCCCAGTCCACCAAAATACTGCCTTATGCAATGCATGTGCTATATCCGCAGATGTAGCCGCTCTGCTGGACACAGTTCTGTATAGAGAATTTAATTTTAATTTACATCCTACTTTGGGTAAGTATTTGGTTCTTGTTCTGCTGTAAATATTTTGAAAGTGTGTGATGATGTCTATCTTATTTTAATTGGTCATCAAGTTCTTTTTGGTGATATCTACTTATTGAGACATTGAATATATTGTTTTTCATGATTGCAATGAATAGTTAGAAAAGTTATCTTGATGAGGAAATAGTTTGTTTGCAATGGTGCTTTTAATTTTCTTCTAACAGAAATGAGAACTGCCTTTTTAAACTGCCAGCTTCTCTATGCTTTGTCTTTTTGTCTTTTTCTAAAACTAAAGGATAAAAAGAAACTCTTAGGGTCTGGTCTCTTATTGAAGGTAGCCACTGTGAATAAGTTATATACATACAGTCTACTGAAAAATTATTTTGAAGTTTCTTTTGATCATGTGAGAGGAGGTAATTGTTCAATTCTGATTAATTCTGAATGAATAAGGACTTGAATTTAACAGGTATACTCAAATTAGTTAAGAAATCAGCTTTATTGGATCAGAGAGTTATTTCTGGAGAAGAACAGAAGACTTGGCTTTGTAGAGTACGGTTTAATTTTAGAAAGCCTAGAAACCAGAAAGATGAATTGGAGGAATTACTCCCTGTTAGTGATCAGGAGAGTGACTTATAGTAACAGTATTCTGGCAGCAGTGTATGGTGTGGTTGGATGAAGTCCAAGCTCTTGTCCACTTATCTACCATTTGAACTATAATTATTAGGATTGGTGAGAAAGAGATAGAAGGAAAAAAGCTTGCCCAGCTTTCTTGATGTATCTGAGTACCTTCAGTGTGCCCAGCACTGTGCTAGATGCTACAGTAAAAGAGGGTCTTTGTATTCAAGGAGCTCATGATCTGAATGATGTGTACATGTGAACTAATAACCATGATGTATTGTGACAAGTGTTATGTTGTATTGATAAAATGCAGTAGGGAGTTCAGAGGAGAGATTGGGTTATCCTGCATTGCAGAGTCTAGAAGGATTCAAATGGGATGTGATAAGTGAAAAATGAGTGAGTTTTCATTAGTAGGAGACAGGGGAGTATAGAACATTGTAGGCAGAGAGAGCAATGTGAACAAAACCAGATAGCATTAAAGGAGAGTTGGGGTAGATGAGACATAGAGGAGAGAAGCCTGGAAATGGTAGAAATGATGAGAAAGATCTTAATCTAAAACTAGCTTGCAGACATATGTATGGGCAGTAGGAAGCCATTTGAAAGTTCTTGGGTAGGAGAACAGTATGAGCAAATCTGGTTTTTAGAAAAAGAACTGGTACCAGGGTAAGCTATAGAATGTAAGAGGGAAAAAGGGAGACAGAGACTAGATAGGGAGCTGTTGGAGTACTATAGGTATGAAATGAAAGACCCAGACTGATACTGGTGGATGGACAAAGGAACAAATTTAAGAATCAAAATTTTAAGTTATTTTCATATCTACTACAAAGATATTTTTTCATCCTTAGTCAGGTGAGAGGCAACTCATCAGCATCTTTAAAGTAATTTTTTTTTTTTTCCTTAAGTAAATTTTCAAACATTCTAACAGGTAGAATAGTACAAGTGAACTGCCATGTGTTTATTATGGAAGTGTCTCAAGTGACTTATCAATATTTTAACATTCTTAAAGTCTTTTTATATACTTTAATATAAAAGATTTTTAATATATTTTTTAGCAAAATGAAAGATGAAATTTAATAAGTATAAAAATAAAATCATTCAATTGGGTACAAAAGCAGTTGTATAACTACATAATTTGGGGTGAGGGCAAGAGAGGAGTGACTAGTGAGAATGGGTGCACACCTGCATAGATGTTTTTTTTCCTCTGTGGAAGCATGTATGAGTTTTGTCACTAGTGTGAATTTCATAAGCATGTGTCTTGGTCTGTTATCAGTCATTGTACCAAGCTTTCATTTGTACCTTTTTAATCTGGAAGTACATATCCTTCATTTCTGGGATATTTTCTTACTTTGTTATTATTATTATTATTATTATTTTTACTTTTTCTCCGCTTTCATCTGCCTTTTGGACCTCTTATTCAAAAATTAGACCTCCTTATGCTGGTTCCTTTAATTTTCTTAGTTTTTCTCTTTTCCTTTCTCTTTGTTTTCCATTATCTGGGAGATTTCTTCAGCCTCAGAATGCTTCTGTTCACTTTTTCATTTCTGCTATTGTATTTTTGAATATCCAAGAAGATTTTCCTTCAGTATTTAACTTTAGCCTATTCGTATTCACGCATGCAGTAATGCAGTATTTTTTCCTCCCTCTATGTTTCAGAAGATCTTCATGTTAGATTGTTTCTGTTAGGTTTTCTTTTTGTGCATGGTCTGTTTTCTACAAGTTCATCTTTAAGTTTGTTGTTTTTGGCTTCTGACTTTGACTTTTCTCAAGTATTTGTTGATCCTTGCCCATTATTAACTGGGCCACTGAAAAGGTGATTGGAAGCTCTGTGCATGTGGGTAGAACTTGTTGACTGTAGGCTTTACTGTAGGGCTAAGTTTTTCTCACAGTCTCCGATGTCAGTATCTTTATCTTTGTTTTTTCTTTTTGTGATAATCTGAGTTTTCAGAGAAGACATTCTAGTATCCTGCCTAGAGGGTTTATATTTATATTTGGCTGCTTGAAATGTTCTGGGAGCTAGAGTTGTCAATTCCTGAATCTTTGCGGGTCTTGCTGTGAAAATCAATATGTCTTTGCTTTCTCATTGCTGACTTAGGATTCAGATTCTTTGGTCTGCTCAGTTACTATTTTTTCGTCTGCTTTCAAAGTCCTAACTTTTGTTGCCTTCCCAGTCTTTTTGTTCTTGTGGGTTGAAACAAAATTGTAATAAATAATTTATGTGATTTACTATTTTTTCTTTTTTCATCTTAACATGTAAATGTTTTCCTAGGTTATTAAAGTTTTTTGATAAATAACACTTTATAAATAGTTGCATAATCCATTATTTGGGTGTTTCACAGTAATTTCTTTTTAGATATTATTTTGTAGTATTAAACTTTTATAAATAATGCTGTGAAGGGCAGTTGAAGGAAATTTTACAAAATAATTAAGTTTCAGCAAATTTGAGTAAAAATATGATAATTTGTTTTTATAAAATAAGTCATAATGTCTTACAGTCATTTCTTAAAATATTAGATCATGTGGAAAAAATAATCTCATGTTGTGATTAAACAAGTTTTGAGTCTGTAATGCTGAGTGCAACATCTGAAGACAAAGTGATAATGATAATGCAGGTTGATTAGGAGGGTTGCTAAAATGGTGAAGATTTTCAGAATTGTTTACTATAATGAGTATATTATGAAGAAATTAACAAGAAAGGAAAACTAAGTTAGGAAACACAAGCAAGTTTTACATGTTTGAAAATGTATCTTGTCTTCCTGATACCTTTTCTCACTTTTTCCCCTATTGTAAATACCCTTTAATTTGTAATCTCTTGCCCCTCTTTCTACCTCTTTCCAACCCTTCTCCCTTCCTCCTTCCCAATTTTTATTATTTATTTGTTTACTTACGTGTTTGTTTATTTTTAAGATTTAACATTATTTTATCTTTATTACTTTCTTTGAATTGCCTTTCCAGAGATATTCATCTTTATGTAGTTTTTGACAGAATAACATTAATACCCCACGTTTATAAAGTGGTTTCCCATTATCTCACCTGGTCATCACAAGAGTTTGATGAGATAGACTGAGTAGTTGTTACTGGTATTTGTTAATAGGGATAGAAGGATTAAAGACTTTCTCAAAGCCACAAGAGCAGAGACTAGAATCCAGGCCTTCTGGTGCCCAGTAGAGCTCCCTTTCTGTGAGACCAGATTTGCTGCTCTGCTCCAGTACTAGGGTTCCAGTTGCTCTCCAGATCCCAACTTTTAATTGAGCATTGTCTATGCCAGGAAGTGTCTTAGGCTTGGGTGGAGAGGGGAGGTAAGCATTACAGACATAGACTTTGTGGTCTTAAGAGTTTATCTGACTTAATGGGAAAGGTAGGTAGTAATTAGATTATCATGCCAAAAATTATATAAACTCCATGTTCTATGAAAGACTTTAAAGAAGTGACATTTAAAGCTGAATCCCAAAGCCAATCAAATAGCAAATATATTTGAGCACTCATTACATGCCAGGCAGTGTATTTAGGCACTTAGGATACAGATTTGAACTGGACGCCATCCATGTCTTCAGAGATCCTATGTTATAGTGGCAGCAGGCAGACAATAAACATAAAATAAGTAAGAGGACTTAAGATAATGTGAGAAATTTTATGAATAAAATGCAAAATGTTATGATAGAGATAATATGATAGAGATCGGGATTGGCCACTTCAAGGAGACATTTGAACAATACTTGAGCCATGATGATCTTTTAAAGCAGAATGAACATCTAGTGCAAAAGCCCTCATAAAGGAGGAACTTATCTGTTAAAAAGAACAAGAAGAAAGGCCATTGTGACTGGGCCTAGTTAAGATAAGTTGGAGAGGAATAGAGGAAAACAAAGTTGGAGAGGTAGGCAGGGCCCATACCATAAATCCTTGTAGGCCATGATAAGTTTAGGTTTTATTCTGTTTGCATCGGAAAGTTATTGGAGAATTTTTTTTTTTTTTTTTGCTGTACGCGGGCCTCTCACTGTTGTGGCCTCTCCCGTTGTGGAGCCCAGGCTCCAGACGCGCAGGCTCAGCGGCCATGGCTCACGGGCCCAGCCGCTCCGCGGCATGTGGGATCTTCCCGGACCAGGGCACGAACCCATGTGCCCTGCATTGGCAGGCGGACTCTCAACCACTGCGCCATCAGGGAAGCCCCTATTGGAGAATTTTGAGCAGGGGAGAGACATGAGCTGATTTATATTTTTAATAAGATTGCTTTGGCTGTGTACAGAGGATGGATTTTAGAGAGGTAAGGTCAAAGCAGAGACACAGTGTAATAGAACAAATGAGATGTGGTGGTGGGTTTGACCTGAGTTTTAGGAGTGGACAGAATGGTAAGTGGTTGAATTTGGTATATATTGTCAAGGTAAAGTTGACATTGGTTGTTCATATGTATTGGATCATTGCTAGTTTTGTTTTTGTTTTTATTTTCTTGAGCAACTTGGTGCCATTTACTCATAGGAAGAAGACTTGGGGAGGATCAGATTGGGGGATAGCGGGAAATCAGTAGCTTTATTTTGGCCATGTAAGTTTGAGATGCTTAGAAGACATGTGAGAAGCTGGGTGTAAATTATTGGAGCTCAGGGGAACAATTGAGACCATAGTGTCAACTCTGAGTATTCCTGACATCCCCAGGAAGAATAGTGCATTTCTTCTTCTGTGTTCTCATAGTATCTTTTATCCCAGGGATATTTTTTTCATAACAGTTGTTGTATTGCTTTGGTGGTTTGTGCCTGTCTTTTCCCACAGTCTGGAATTTTGTTGTATTTCTCTGTGGTCTCAGTTTCTAGTACATAATAGGTAGTCAATAAATGTTTGATGAATAAATCATGTTTATTTCCCCTGTCACCACACTGGGTCATTTTACCTGTCAGATGTCTAACAAATATGTTTCTTTCTTTCTCTCCTCAGTGTCTTAGTGCTGATCCTTATCATCCCTCATATAATTAGTATTAACATTAATACTTTATTTGAAAATGAGTTCCACATAATGTTTATTTGAGAGGTAGATGGTTTCTGGAATTGAATCAGTGGTTTGAATATATCAGAGTCAAGGTGTCTGAATTTTCTTGGCCTTTGCCTCATAGGGAAGGAGAGTGATGCTGAATTTAGACTGAACAGGGACAGTAGAATTTAAATAGGGCCTAAGATATAGTGATGTTATTTAAGTATAGGGCAACTTGAACTTTATTTAAATTTAATAAATTAATGACGATTTTTAAGATAGGAAGGTGAGTATAAAAGCAAAAGAGCATAAAGAAGATTTTCACCAGTCTAAAGGAATATGACTGGACCGTACTTCAGAGGATCTGACAGGAGCACAAAGGATGGGCAAATATGGGAGAAATTATGAAGTAAGTAGATAACTGGTGTGAAAGTGAATGTAAAGAGAAGAGGGATTAAGGAGACAGATGACTTACGTCAGGCTTCTGGGTATACTGAATTCTTCAAGGCCTTTCTTGAACTCTGAAACATGGAGTCTTAACTGAGTATCTTGGACTTATTTATAATGATCTGAGGGAATTTATGAAAGTCCTTAAGAGTTATAGTTTATTGGACTTTTAAGTGACATTAATTTGAACTTTTTACTAGTTGGGAACATTTTGGCCCCATAATCCATCTTTGGTGCCTTTCACCTAATGCTGTTCTAAAATAAGTTTAATTTTATTATATACTGGGCAACGAAGCACTCTTCATATTTAATTTCAAATGAAATGTTATGAATTTATTTTAACATCTTTACTGTATTAGGTTTGAGTGTTCCATTGAATTAAACAAGCTAATAACCCTTTTTTTTAAGGTACAGCAGGGAAGAACTGGAAATTCAGAGAAGGAAACAGCGCTTCCATCTACAAAAGCTGAGTTTACTTCTCCTCCTTCTTTGTTCAAGACTGGACTCCCACCAAGCAGGTTAGTGAGATATTGATGATTCAGTTTATTGAAGGCATCGGTATCTTCACCTTTAGTGCTATATGAAGTATAAAAACTCTGAATGATATACCAAAAAACTGGAACATTCTACTTGGTTTTAGTACAAAATGAATTCTTTGTGAAAAACTCTTCTGGGTGCTATTTCATCTAAAAAAATCTAGGTAAGCAAGAAATGAACAGTGGAATACAGTTACATGTATATATAAAGAAACAACAGTCTCACATTCAGGACAGGTGACAGCAAAGGTTGCACTGTTTTCTGTGCTTATTATTCTTACATAAAGAATTATTGAACTTCCTAAATCTGGATATACTGGCCTAAAGATGTTTCACTGATTTTAGTAAAAGAGGTTGTAGAAATTTCAGCCTGAGAAATTTTTCAAATTAAAACCATTTTCTTTTCTTTCTTTGGTTTGTTGTGATAATACCTAACTTTGAGTTCTACAGGGTACCAACTATAAGAGGCAAAGATGTTGGCAAATGTCCTTTTAACTTAAACATAACAAGTGATTAGCCCATTACCAGGAAAATGGTAAAGGATAAGCCAAGACTAGGAAAGTTTTATGTCAGCAGTTTAATCTTGGGTTAAAGATGACTTAAACCAGTTATTTCTCTGAGCCTGAAACAAGTCAGTAACTCAACTATTATGAGTTCTCAGCCAGATCATTTACCTTTTGTGTTACTTACTTAAATTTATTTTATGTAGTTTCCTGATTTTGTCATTCTGATATTTCATACTATATGAATGCAGAAAGAAAACTTGTAATTTAGCCCTAAAATAAAGATTTTTGAAACTTTCAGCCAAAATTCAATATCATAAAGCCATCTCAGATTTTGACTGTCTCTTCTTAACAATTTCTAGTCATGCATATATACACTACCAAATGTAAAATAGGTAGCGAGTGGAAAGCAGCTGCATAGCACAGGGAGATCAGCTTGGTGCTTTGTGACCACCTAGAGGGATGGGATAGGGAGGGTGGAAGGGAGACGTAAGAGGGAGGGGATATGGGGATATATGTATACATATAGCTGATTCAGTTTGTTATACAGCAGAAACTATAATACAGCATTGTAAAGCAATTATACTCCAATAAAGATGTTTAAAAAAAAACATAAGGGGAAAAATGACTAAAACAAAAAATAGAAAAACGATTACTAGTCATGGACTTTTCCAAATAAGGTTTTTTAAACCAAATGCAATCTCATAAAAGTGTTTGTCTAAGAAGTTATGATAGCTGAGGAATATTGATTCTTTTAATTTGTAGTATTCTCTCTTTTTTTTTTTTTCATATTTTAAAAGAGGCCAACCTTCATTCATTGAGTTTATGGTGTTCTACATTCTAGAATGATATTAAGAGCTTGGACTCTAGAGCCAGACTTCTGGCTCAAATTCTAGCTCTGTTACTTACTAGCTGTGAATTACACTAGCTGTGTATTACTAGCTGGTGTGTATTGGGCACATCGCCCAATCTTCTTGTTCTTTCATTTCTTAACCTATAAAATACGGTAATAATGCTACATAATACCCTCACTGGATAGTTATGTATATTAAATGGATTAATTTATGTAAGGTGTTTAGCACAGTGGTACATACATAATAAATATTCTATGGATGTTTGTTATTATCATAATTAAACTAATTGAACTTTTAAAAATCAATAGCAGTTTTTCTGTGTTTTGCCCACTTCCACCCCCTCCCCTCTTTTTTAAAAATTTGGGCCAGATTATGTAGGACATTGTGCCATTATATAAGTGTTTTGACTTTCCCTGTAAGTGAAATGTATGGGGAGTCACCATCAGATTTTGAGCAGAGGAATGAAATAATCTGATTTAGGTTTTTAAAGTCTCAATTTAACTGCTTTATTAAGCTCAGACTACAGAGGAATTAAGGGCAGTAATGGGGAGGCCAGTTAGGAGGCTATAACAGTTATCTAGACAAGAAATAATGGTAACTTAGACCACGGTGGTAGTGGTGCAGATGGTGAGACGCAGTCAGATACTGGACACATTTCAAAAGACACAAAAGATCTTTTATATCTGAGGCAGAAAAGACTATAGGAGGAATGATTTTTGGAGGGAGGAGACCAAAAGTTCAGTTTCGAACCTGATAAAATTGAGATGCCTACTAGTTATACAAGTGGAATATTTGCATGGGAAGTGGATAAATAGATCTGGAGTAAGGGGAAAGGTATGGACTGGAGGTACAAATCTGGGAGTGATCAGTGTTTAAATAGTACTTAAATGAATCTGTGAAATTGAATTAGATTGTAAATGAGGTAAGTATTACTAGAGAAGTAGTAAGAAGACAGAGCCTTGAGGCACTTCCATGCAGGTCAGAAAAATAAGGATGGAACAGTAAGAGGAGACAAGTAGAGAAAAATGACTAATGAAATAGGAGGAAAACCCAGTGTATATCTTGAAAAGGGTGTGTTTCAAAATAGGAAGAAAAAGGGTGTGTTTCAAAATAGGAAGAGTGTTTTAACTATCAAATAATATTGATTGGCCAAGAAGAAGAGGACTGGGAATGACTTGGATTTTAAATGCAAAGGTTGTGGTGATTCTGACCAGGACGTTTTCAGTGAAGATTTAAAAAAAGACTTTGTGGAATGGATTCAAGAGAGAATAGGAGGAAAGGAATTAGAATGAACAATTTTTTGAGTTTTTTTCTTTTTTTTTTCTTTTCTCTCTTTTGAGGGGGCAGAGAAATGGGACAGTATCTGGAGGGAAATGTGGGGTCAGGAGGAGGGTTTTTTGCCAAAATGAAAGAAATTACAGCATGTTTTTATATTTATGAGAATGAGTTACTAGAGGGGAAAATTGATGATGCAAGAGTTGAGAAGGGACAGTTGTTAGAGCAGTGTCCTTAAGAAGGTCAGAGGGGGTGGGATGTAATATGCAAGTGGAGGACTTAGCCTTAAAGAGAAGCATGGACAATTCACTCATTGTAATAGGAGGAAGGGCAGGTGAAGGTAGGTGGGTGGTTAATGGTGATGGAAACAACTGAAAGTTCCCTTTCTGATTGCTTCAGTTTTTCCCAGCAGCATAGAATGCAGACTTATCTGGTGAAAGTGAGAATAGTGGAAGAGGGTGTTGAATGTTTGAGAGGAGAGGAGAAGGTCTGAAATAGTTATGTAGAGGTGTGTGAATAAACCTGGGAGAAAGGAGCAGGATTGCTAGGCAGTTACCTGGAGGGAAGTGTGGGGTGAAGACATGGCTTTTCTTTTCCAGGTGGGAGAAATCACAGCATTTTTATATGCTGATGGGAATGAGCAGAGTGAAAAATTTATGACACGGGGAGAGACTGTACATTTCCAACTTTTCTTGAGGTTAGTGGCCAGAGGTTGAAAATGAAACAAGTCAGCTTGTTTGGGTGTGTTTGTCTTTCCCTTGTCAGGTATTCATGTGTTCATGAAGAGTAGCTAGAGTTGGATTTAGCAGGGGTTGAAGTTATACCAGGCAAATATGCCCAAGGGAGAGAGGGGCAAGGAAGGTGAGAGTACTTGAGAGAGTGATTATAATGATGGATCATGGATCTAAGGAGAGATGAAGGAGAGATGGATAAGGAGTGATGGGAGGACACCGGTGGATAAGGCACAGTAAGAAGGAAGTAAAAAAAAAAATGACAGAAATTAGCAGATTCATCACTTATGCTGAAAAGAATGGATAATTACCACCACAGTTCGTAGAAACAGACGCAGCGTGTTAATACTGTCACTTTGGGATGCAAAGAACAGCACTCACTGCTCATTAGGAAAGTTTGTTTTCTGGACTCATCTTCGCTTGATCAAAAGGATACTTCTCAGCCACTGTGAAGTATTTCCCTAAATAAATATCTGTGTTTTATTCTTTATATTTATAAAGTATTTCCATTTTATTCTTTGTATTTATGGAAATTAGGTGTTTTTAAAAGTAAAATTTTATTGACTTTAGGGAGAAGACAGTAATGTCATGGAAGTCATGATAGAGACTGTACAGCAAATATTTAGCAGTAATGAAGTGTACTACTGACCTAATCACTGTATTCCTATTGTTTAAAATCTTAGATTGCCATATTAACATATAAATGGCTACTGGTATGTTTGCAAAGAAAAAAAATTTTTAATGGTTCTTTGTACTTTATCAGTAGGAATGTTGGATTTCTAACTTTCTGTACTGCCCAGCAAATTGTTAATATTTGCTATATCAGAATTTTTTTTAATCTTTAAAAGTTTTCATGTAGACCAATAAGCAGAATATTACCATTACTACCAGAAGCCCCTGTTGTGCCCCCTTCATTTATTGTTTTCATTTTTTAATGTTTTATTTTGAAAAAAATTCAAACTTAGAAAGAGTTGCAAGAAAAGTATTAGTCTATACACTGTTCACTCAGATTCACCAGTTATTAACATTTTGCCATATTTGCTTTATAATTTCTCAAAAATATTTTTTTCCTGAACCATTTGAATGCTAATTGTAGACATTGTGCCCTTTTACCCCTGAATACTTAAGCATATATTTCCTAAGAACAAAGACATTGTGTTCCGTAATTATAGGAAACAGTTAATCAATGTCAGAACGTCTCATAATGAATCAGTACTTTAATATACAAGCCATAAATTTTGCTGATTATTTCAATAATATCTTTCATGGCAGTTCTTTTCTTTCCTCCTTGATTTAGGATTTAGTCCAGGATTATTCATTACAATTAACTCCTTTATCTCTTTATTCTTTTTTGATCTGGGACAGCTTCTTGAACATTCTTTGTATTTGTTGACATTGACTTGAAGAGTACAGTCTGGTTATTTTGTAAATCATCCTTCAGTCTGGGTTTGCTTGATGTTCCCACGTTATTAGATTCAGGCTTTGCTTTTGGGGCAGGAATACTACATAAGTAATGTGGTGTTCTCAGTGAATCAGCCTGTAGGTACATGATGTCAGTTTGTCCCGTTTTTAGTGGTGATAACTTTAATTACTTAGTTGTGGTGGTGCCCTTTGCGTTTCTGCAAAGTTACTGTATAAATAAGTAATCTGTGAGGAGACTGCATAAATATTCCGTTTGTCTTTGAACTTTCCATGAATTTTAATGTCCGTTTTTGATTTAGTCAATTATTACTGTAATGACTGAAAATAGTCATTGTCTAACTCTGTTATTCCTGTTACATTTATTAGTTGGCATTCTACTTTAAGAATGAGCTTTTCCACCTCCCTCACCTACTTATTTATTGTTAGACTCATTAATTTTTATTTTATGTGTGAGAGAGTTTGTGTGTGTGGCTTATAAATGGGGTATATAAACTATATATTTACACATACACACACACACATGTATATGTATACACACATATATATGTACTGTAATTCATATTGATGCTCAAATTGTTCCAGATTTGGTCCATGGGAGCCTCTTCAGACTGGCTCCTCTGACCTTTTGACATGTCCCCATCATCTTTTTTTGAGGATTTCTTTATTTTCTGATGTTTCAGTCTTATGTTGTACTTTCCCTTCCCCTTCCCTAGAAGCAGCCATTTCTTGAAGGAATCCTGATGCTTTTTAGTGGGAAATGGTAATTAGAAACCACAGTCCCGGCAGTAGTTACGCTTATTGCTGTTGGGGTGTCACTATTTCTAGATCTTTTCAGCACTCAGAGCTAGGAAAAAGCAAGCAATTTTAATGTGAAATTGCCATATATATGTTATTTTTATAAAATTTTAATCATATTGTCATGTTTCTTCTACTTCTAGCTTGACACCACAGGTTCTACTCCTCTTTCCCTATTTTGTATTGCATCTTCCTTTTTCCCACAGTGAGAACCTAGTTCCAACAAGTTCAATATATACACTCATTTGCTTAATACTGAAATACACACAAAATAGATTAGAACTGTGCACCTACCATTACAAAAAACAAACCTATTAAATAGAGTTCAAGGTTTCTTTCAAATTTTCTTTTTCTTAGATTGAGGGTATATAGTTAAAATATTGTGTTCAAAAATTTCCTTCAGAGTGGTTATATGTATTAGTCACTTAAAAGATAATTTGATCCATTGTTTCTGTTTCTTTTCAGTATTAGCATTTCTTTTCCTCCATGCTTATTGACTTACTTTCTACATATCTAGAACATTTAACATAGTTCCAAAGGCAAGACTATGCAAAAGTATACTCAGATTAGTCATTCTTTTTGCAATTTTTTTCACTCCTGTCGATAAACAATTTCATGTCATCTAGTTACTGGCTTGTTCTTCCTGTGTTGTTTTTTTTTTACATAAATAAGCAGCTACATAAACATGTTTTTCCTGTTACTTTGAAAGAGTGTCTTATGACTCCTTTAAAGGATTGGCAAGAGTGTATATAGGTGAACACCAGGGATAAAATTAACTTTTTTTAGAATTTTACTTTGAAAGACTTTAATTATTCTGAAATTGAATTTTAATGAAATATATATTTAATATAGGCTTTTATGAAACACAGAATGTTGTTGTTAACTGGTTACACTAACAATATTTATTTCTATTATTGAAGAATTAGGGAAAGAAATACCAACATTTCAAATAAGGTTTTATGAAACTGCAGAAATTAATGTTATTAATTTGTAAAAGCACTGAAATTTATTTCTTAATATATATAACCTGAAGTAAGCCTTTGGTTCTTTTCTCATTTCTGCATTTTGACATCATACTGTCTATGTTGAGAAGTATTTCTAAAAATATTCTAGAATTAATAAAATGTTGATAACAAAGACATCTATATTTGAATACCACTAGCAGTCTTAGTTCCACAACAAGTACTTCATATAACTTGAAGAGAATGATACTATCAGAACATGCTAAAGGACTTTAGAAAAAGCATGTCAAGGAAAAAAGAAACAGAACAAGGGGGGTCAGAGACAACAGTATGTAAGAAAAAACATAGAAAATTTATCTCACCAGAAACAGCACCTCTTCTCAGTCTCAGACAAGTACTGCCTCCAAAAAAGCCAATTCAAGCGTTGGGAAGTGGCAGGATCAATATGGGAGGGCCGAATCACCTGATCTAAGGTAAGGCTATTTTTAAACATTGGATACTCCTGATGTTTAGGTCATCAGTGTTGTTTTATCTCATTCGAAAGATAATAAATTTTGACTAGGCTGTACCATTTTCCCCCCTGAATTACACTGTTTCAGTATAGAATTGAAGGTTTTTACACTTACCTTATGAATCAGCCCTTATCACCTCATGTCTCGCCCCTTGTCTCTCTAGCTTTTTATAACATAAATTGCCTGGAACCATGCTAATGGGTGCTCAATAAATGTTTTCCTTCCCTTTGCTGCAGGTTTAATTTTCCTTTCTCATATCATACCCTATTCAAAAACCCCTGGGTGCTTTTCAGTATCTGGAATAAAATTTAGCTCTCTGAGCCGGTCTTTAGGACCTATAAAATTGGACGCCATTGAATCTTTCCAATCTTTATTTTCCAACTACAGTGCATAAACCTGCCATTCTATTAAGTGGGTCTAGGAAGTACTGTCTCCCTTATTGTTGCTATGCTTTTTATTCATAATCCACCCTCCATAGAATTTTGGTTTGTGTTCTAAATCTTAAATTTACAGAGCATACAAACCTTGGATGGATATTGTAAACTGAGCCTGTGAAAATGGGAATAATAATTTCTATCCTAAGTGATGTAATGAGAAGCAAGTGTGTTAGGGTATGAAAATGTATTGCCAACAATAAGCAGTTATACTTTGCTTGACTAGAAATAGAAACTAAGATACCTTCTTAATTTATCGTTTGAAGTTTTAAATAAGGTAATAGTATATGGGAGTGTATTTTGTTTGTTTTTGTTGGTAAAGAATTTAAAGCTTTCTTCCTGGGCAGCTTGATGCTGTATTAATGTGTGTTTTGTTTTTTATGTATTTATTGTATTTTATTTTTGGCTGCGCTGGGTCTTCGTTGCTATGTGGGCTTTCTCTAGTTGTGGTGAGCACGGGCTACTCTTCGTTGCAGTGCGCGGGCTTCTCATTGCGGTGGCTTCTCTTGTTGCGAAGCTCGGGCTCTAGGTGCGCTGGCTTCAGTAGTTGTGGCTCGCGGGCTCTAGAGTGCAGCCTCGGTAGTTGTGGTGCACAGGCTTAGTTGCTCCCCGGCATGTGGGATCTTCCCGAAACAGGGCTCGAACCCGTGTCCCCTGCATTGGCAGGCAGATGTTTAACCACTACGCCACCAGGGAAGTCCCATGCTGCTATTACTTTAACATCTGAAATTTCTTTTATATAAACCATTTGACTTATAATTTTTAGCTTAAAATAGTTATGCTTTTGATATAACAGCTTATTTCTTGAAATAAATTGGCCATTTTATAAGGAAAATATTAGTTTTTAAATCTGAAAGTGATACATTTCAGTACTTAGACTATATAACTTCCCCCTCGCTACCTGGCCCCCCGGTGCCCCCAAAAGATGGTTTGGTAACTCAGAAAACCCCCTATTCTGATTTTGTGATTAGTCTCAGGGAGTATAGGTAGTAGGAAATTTGACACTGTATTTTCAGTGTGTATTTTGTGCTTTTGAAAATTAAAAATTAAAAAGAAAAAACAACTGTAGATGAAAGCTACATACACTTTCTTATAGCATAAGATAAACAATGAGATTCCAGCTCTTGTAATTAATGTAACTGAGAAATGGGGAGTTTTTTTAAAGCATTCCTTAAGTCTCTTTGTAAAGAACGATTAAATGATGGTTGAGATCCTTTTCATAAATTACTGTATTTGGAGACCCAGACTTTTCTCACCCTGTTACTCTTAATTTATATATTATAGTGTTTTTTAAATCTTTAAGCTAACTATAGTATATAACAATAACATTTTATTGGTGCAAGTTTGTTTTGTAACTCTTGTAAAGCGAATTAGTGAGAAGAATGAAGTAGTTTAAATGAACACAGAAAATTGGAATAGGCAGTATGGATGATTGCTATAACCTTACGCCAGTGTCCAATTTATTTCTGTATTTTGTTTTCATTTTACAATCTTAAACTATGCTCCTTTTAGATAATTAGTTGCAAATTCTAGGTTGTTTTATTAAGCTTGTTTTCCAATATCAGAATACTTTTAACCTAACCCAGACTCTTGAAGGAGGAATAGTAAAAATTGCTTTACAATGTATAATCACTAAAATATTTAAACCTGCTCGCATGTTTTATAATAGACAAACAAAACTTAAAAGTGGATGTTAAATGAACATTAAATCTAAGGTTGACTCCCTCATTTGTTCTTGCTGCTTACTATTATGTCTTGATGAAATCGTTTACTGAAAAAAGTACCTGTACTTCATAGCATTTGAGCACTCTGCATGCATGTTGCTATATTGTGTAGCTTGTAAGATTTTATGTGATTGGACATGTGAAGGCCTTTTTTTTTTAATTACCTGTAGAAACATATCTTTTCCTATCAGTGATACGTTTAAAAAATGCAACTAAGCATAAATATGGCTGGTAAAGCTTTATTCCAAGCTCTGCACAAAAGTAAGTAAACTTGGCTGCCCTAATAAACACAATTTATGTCCTCCAGTGAGTCACATTTTAACATATTTCACCTTTAAGTATTCAAGGTTTTTTGTTTTTAATATAGCTTAACAAGTAATGTGGCATTTTAAAAATTCAGGACCCAGAAAATTAGCATGGAAAACATTCTGTGGGTAGGAGGGGGTTTGGAGTTGGTCATACCCAAGCCTGAATATTGACATTGGCGTGGTACTTCACAAAGGAGCCTCTTTCCACATCTGTGAAAATGAAACTGATTGGACTTACACCTTACTTTCAGTGTACTTACGGATGAAATAATTTTTAAGCCTGTGAAACGCTATTGCAGGGCACCCACTAAAGTGTTAGTTCCCCTTGGATCTCTGCTCCCATCATAGGCTTTACCAGTCTCTTTGAATATGGTGTGATAGGAAATTACATGTCCTGAAGACAGTTTTTTAATTCTGTGATTTTTTGGGGGGGGACGTGTATCACTTCTCTAGACAGAATTCTTTTTTATTAAGTCTCCACTTGAAAAATAGAATATAAGTATAGAAGCAGTACTGTCAGTCCACAGAACTCAAAAGATCAATATGAAAATATGTATGTAATGAAATCTTTACCATAATTGTTAAACCTTTTTAGATATGACTTTAAATTTATTGAGTAATAAAAACATTAATTTTTATTAACTACTTTAAGTTCTTACTAGAAGAGGACAAAATATGTGTCTCTTCTTTGGGCATACCATTAGTTGTAGTCCTCGACTTTAGCTCTGTATTGGAGTTACATGGCGAGCTACAAAAAATATTGATGCTTAGGCCTGAGAGACTCAGATTTAACTATTTGGTGTGCACTCTGGGCGTTGGGGGTCTTAAACGCTCTCTAGATGATTCTGATGTGCAGGCAAAGTTGAGAACCCCTAATCCATTAGTGGGGTGTGAAGTAAATTTGCTGGTCTCAGCCACCAAATATTTCTTGGTTTTATTTTGGTTTTTTTCCTGTGTTATTTGTAAATATTAATAAAATCATATTTGATGTTAATGTTCTTTTTCCTTTATAGTAAGTGTAAGTAAGTACTGTTTTATAAAACATTTGTTTTTTTTTATATAATGTATATACTGGATTGCTGTGCAAAATGTATTTCCTAAATAACTGTTTTGTGGTTTAAAAAGTTTAAAAACTACTGTACTCTATCATACTTTCACTTAAGATGGACTCAGGAGAAACTTTTTTCTTTTTACTTTCATCTTTAAAATGGGAATAATAATAGTTGCTACCTCTTAGGATTATTATGAGGAGTAAATCTATATAAAGTGCTTAGAACAGTGCTTTCCTAGCACCATAGTAGGTGTTCAATAAATACTAGCAATTGTTATTACCAAGAAAAGTAATCTTCAGAGCTAGTGCTTTGTTTTTCTCTTAATGCACATTAAAGACTTTTGTTATGAAGACTGTCCTTTATTTTGGCTGGTAAAAAATAAGCTCAGAGATAAATTTGTGGCCAAAGATTAATAACTAACCTTTTATCTGTTTTCCCTTGTTTCTGATTTTGTTACTCTTAGGATTTCTATTGTATCTATGTAAGCAGCTCTCATACCCTTTCTGGAACATTAGAATCCTCAAAATATGTCATTTTAATTTAATTCCACTAAAATTTCAGAGATGTTTTCATATTCATCTGTGCTAGGAGGACAGGTCGAGGTTCTTGTGAATATTCACTGCCTGTATTAAACTGTAGATTAATGAAACTGTAGCTGTCCACTGTGGTTAGTTGCTCTCTCTTTCAGCTTTTTACTCTATGATTGAGTCCGATATAGAGAAGAGAATCTTGATAACTGCGTTAGCTGTCTGCCTTATTGAACAGTTTGTAAACCCAGATAAACCTGTGCTATGTAGAAATCCAAGTTACAGTAGATCCTCATGGTGAAGCTCTACTAAATTTTTTTATTCATTGAAATAGAAAGTGGTACATCAGAAACTTTAATAATAATATGGTTCAATATTGTTTTCCATAATGTGACATCAGAATTGATGTTTAATTATTCACCTGTGTTAAATATTAAGTGATTTTTGTTACTTTGGTACATATGTGTCTGTTGTAAAATATTTCTAACAAAATTTCTGATTAAGGTAAATCAATTTGTGTGGTAAAAATGCTTGGGCAAGGAGCTGTTACTATTATGGACATGTAAGGAATTGCAATTTTCTAGACTCCCTCTAGTGATATACATTTATTAAGGCTAATTTCTCATTTGTATGTTTTTATTTTATTTTATTTATTTATTTACTTTTTAAAATATTTATTTATTTATGGCTGTGTTGGGTCTTCATTGCTGTGTGCAGGCTTTCTCCAGTTGGCGGTGAGCGGGGGGCCACTCCTTGCTGCGGTGCATGGGCCTCTCATTGTCGTGGCCTCTCGTTGCGAAGCATGGGCTCCAGGCGTGCAGGCCTCAGCAGTTGTGGCACGTGGGCTCAGCAGTTGTGGCTTGTGGGCGCCAGACCTCAGGCTCAGCAGTTGTGGCACACGGGCCCAGTTGCTCCGTGGCATGTGGGATCCTCCTGGGCCAGGGCTCGAACCCGTGCCCCCTGCATTGGCAGGCAGATTCTTAACCACTTCACCACCAGGGAAGTCCTGTATGTTTTAGAAACATAATATTTGCCATTTTGACTCTTTAGTGATAGAGCAATCCATTTAAAACTGAAAAAGGTAATCAGACATCTCTGAACATATTGAAGATAAACTTTAATAAATGAGTACTCCCATGTGTCCCAGAATTTTTGAAAACATAAGTCCTTAGAAATCCATGGTCAAAGGTTATAGAATCTTTCCCCTTTTGCTACTTTTAACAATCCAGAGAACTTATAATCCAAGTTGCAAATCCAAACAAATTTGTGAGAATTTGTTCTTGATGGGAATAAATTTAAGAAGATGGAGAGGGGAGAATCCAGCGATTGAGAATAGAAGAGAATGGAAAAGAAAATAGTAGGGTAGAAATAAGGATTTTTACTATGAAGTTTAGGTAGTGATAAATGGTGAGGGAAATCCTGGTTTCAGAATATACACCTTTATCGTTTGGGCTGTTGGATCTGAGATGTGAGCTGATGGCACGTGCTTTGATATGAAATTATAGTGGTCATAGCTTTGTAAGTATTTTAAGTTTTAGGCAAAAATTAGAGCAATATTTGTTTTGTCAGAAGTATTTCAGTTTTTCTAATGTGTGACTGTTAGGATAGTTTCCCAGCTGCACTGAAGGGTACAAGTTAAGTAAAATCACTTTTGATCTTTGAGATCGTGAGGGAACCTAGGGGGTCAATGACCTAGGTATAAAATCAGAAAGGCTTGAACATTTTTTAAATGTATTAACAGAAATCTTAAGTGGCAGGATAGTAAGCAGGAATTAACTATGTAGTTGAAGACATTTCAGATGCCATTATAGACTTTTTGTAGGTCTGTCTTCTTGTTTTTGTGAGCATAAAATTATTTATGGGGCTTTTCAAGGTTTACTTGAAACATACCTTCAGTAGTTCTTGGTTTCCAAAAGTCTTAAGTTTTTCAAAGGCTGCTTATCTTGCTAGAAGGCAGCATGGCTCAAGGGAAGGGGTCTGAGGCTTTGGAATCAGGAAGACTCAGGTGTGAAAGTTAGTTTTGCCATGTAATTATTACCGAGGTCAGTGACATCACTCTGGCTCTAGCTTTATCATCTCTAACAAGTATATATTAATTTTTTAAGTTAAGGGTTATTATGAGGTTTAGGTATAGAATGTAATCATTCAATAATTGGTAGCTGCTGTTATTAGTCATTTTAGGAACCTAACTGTAGTGACCTGAAGGATCTATGGTACTTTGATTGTTTTACTTCTGTAAAATTTTAAAAACAGAATTGTTCAGAACTGAAATATAGATGAAGAGAAATTCATCTAATTTGCATCCACTTTTCATTGCCAATTCCTACAAGTGACTTCTGTATCTTGTTAAGCATATATATTTTTATAAAGTTCTTAGCTACACGTAAAAATGGCTTTTAACGTTATTTTATTTTCTTTTATTGTTAGATTTTCCTATTGAATTTGCAGCATTATTTTGTGATAGACTGTTTTTCCATCTACTCACAAACTTTAATGGTTGTAAATACAATTGGAGGTGGGGCTGGCATTTAAATATTTGAATTTTTCTAACTAAAGGCAAGTTATCAAGAATGAAAAAGTGGTTCCCTATTTATTTTTTCTAATTCTCAGAATAAATCACTAAGGAACATAACCTTTATGTATCAAAATGAGCATTATTTCTTTTCAAGCCGTTTTGAGGAATTTTTAAGATTTCTGTAATAGAACTATGATATGTGTTACAATTACAGTGGGCAAAAATTTTTATTTCCATTTGTTTAACATTTGCTACTGATTCAGTTCCACAAAAATAAATTCACTTGGAGACTATTAAAAAATAGTAAATTTTGAAGAAAACCTACAAAAATACTTAAAATTTAGCATTATGATCATTGTTTGGTGTGTTGGTCTTAGCTAATTAATAAAATTTCGTTTTTATGACTATGCAAAGTAGTGAGATCTAAGTGAAGTTTTTTCAATATGTGTTGTGATCTGATTTTATTTTAAATTACATTGCAAAGGGTTTTAGCCTTTATTTCTCACCTAATATTTGTGTTATTGTCCAAACATCTAATTAGGTGAAACTGAAATGATCCAATTTTTATGTTACAGGAGATTACCTGGGGCAATTGATGTCATTGGTCAGACTATAACTATCAGCCGAGTAGAAGGAAGGCGACGGGCAAATGAAAACAGCAACATACAGGTTTAGTATTTTTAAAGTTATTCTTTTTTTTTAAATGAAGGATTATATCTGTGTTCTAATTTAATTTATTCATTCATAGCACTATGCTATATGTAAGGTGATTTAGGTACTACAAAGGGGATTTAAAATGTGGAATCAATCACCATGTTATTACAAAAGCTGTTCCATTTAAAATTTATAACCTTTGGATCTTTTTCAGTAAGATATTTTTTTCCTTGCTATAAATGTGATATATAGGCTCATTGGACTAAAAAAGGAAAATATGGGAAAAGTTTAAAGAAGAAAATAAAACCGTCGATAGTTCTGCCATCTAAAGATAACCACTCTTAACATTTTGGTACATCTCTTCCTCGTCACTAAGCAAGATTGGGATAGATACTACTATGGTTATATTTTTGTGTATCCTTTTTTTTTCCATATAAAATTATCATTTGCATTTTCCCATATTCTTAAAAATATTTAACACCTCCTCATGATAGATTTATTGTATGGCTATACCATAATTTATTTAATGTGACATTTCTGGGTGAAGTAGATCTCTTTGTTTTTCAAGTGAAAGAATGAAAGAAGATGAGTTATTAGCTTGTATAATTCAAGTTTGAACTTTGAGTAATTGAGACTTTCAGCTATTAGCTTGACCACACTTTTTTTCATTATTTATTTTCTTTCTCTGAGTACTTTAAAAGATGTCCAGTGTTTTGATTCTTTATTACCTTTAGTAAATTATGTAAATGTTCTTTTTAGCACCTTTTAAGGTAAATTATTTCTAAAATGGAAGATAATCCTCTTTTTTACCCCCACCATTAAAATGTCATGCTTTCCTAAAATAATACTGCTTTCTACTTTAAAAACTAGCTTATCAGCATAAGCCTTACAAAAATTACTGTACTTAAATGTAGGAAAAGTTAATGAAAGATTATGTTTAAATGATATGCTTCAGCCAGCAAGGATTTGAAAAGTATACATTAAATATATAAAATCATGTTGCCTGTTTTTTCTAGTTTTCTCAAACATGTTTGCACATCAGAATCCCTTAGGGAACTTGTCAAAAATTCAAATTTCTAGGTGCCACTCTCCTGTAGGTTCGGTTTCTGTCCCTTACCTGTTCACATAGATCAGTATTTTGTAAATACTTTTTAAGTATAAACCCTTGTTCTTAAAGTTACAAGGCTCACATGAAGAAGTTTTTTATGTATCTGGCTGCCTGTTAGTTGCACCCTATTGATGCATGCCTTTATAGTCTCTTACTTTGCAACCTGATAATGACAGGCCTTGGTACAGTGAATATCTGGTTCTATTGCCATGTTAATTTCTTAATGCTAGTATCTATGACTAATGATTATATTGCCTTAATTTGAATACTTTAACTTTGGTTGAGTAACAAAGATAATACTCATTACATTTTATTTATGAAGTACTTAATTGTCTCGTTTAGAATATTTTTAGAACAATTATTCCTTAAGAATTTTATTTGTAATGATTCAGTTTTGTCTAGGCTTTGAATATGAACATTTAAAAAAGTGTGTTTGAGAGTGAATACTCACATCTGTATAATATACACGCACATCACACACATAGAAAAATTACTCCTGCTTCCCCAGAATATATGTAAGTGAATAAAACTTATTTCTTAGATTAAATGAGATTCATTTACTGAGTTTAATCTCAGATAAGAACATTTATTCATCTTTTTAATTAAGTATGCTCTAATTTTAGGTCCTTTCTGAAAGATCTGCTACTGAAGTAGACAACAATTTTAGCAAACCACCGCCATTTTTCCCTCCAGGAGCTCCTCCCACTCACCTTCCACCTCCTCCATTTCTTCCGCCTCCTCCCACTGTCAGCACTGCTCCACCTCTGATTCCACCACCAGGTAAATAGTAAATAAGACATTTGATTTTGAAAGAAAAATAACCTTTGAGTGTTTTTAAAATTTTGAATTTAACAAAGTATGTATTTGAAAATAGCATCTTCATTGATTGCACTACATTAATCTTCATTGATTGCACTACATTAAAAGTAATAGAATATGAAATTGATTATGTAAAATCTTCAGTAGATTCACACTGAAACAGATGTATATGTGTCTTACTTTTTCAGTAAAGCAAAGAAGCAATGTACTAAAATAGGGAAGAGTGGACAGACACTAAAATTGTGATCCAAAAATATGATAGTGATCCCCAAATTAAAGTTGCTAGTTGTGTATGTATAAATTCACATTGAATCATATTAACTTGTTTTGAAAAAAAATTTAAAGACACTTTCAGAATGGTGTAGGTCAAAAAAATTACATTCTGTGAAGGGATTGAAATGAAAATCTCAGCCTGTCTGGTCATCTTTCTTTGTATACTGGTTTCCTTTTAGGAGACTGTTTCTGTGTGCCAGGTATCTGATATTTACCTCTACTACACAAGAGAGAAAATTAATGTCATTTTTTATCATATTCTTAGTCACTTTTGGTTATTTATTAAAAACTAGATCAGTGACAGTAGAAAAAAATTCACAAATAATTACCAAATTTTATACTTTCATCCTTTTGTCTGAAGACCTTTGTTATTTTATTCATGATAGACTTTCAATATTTATATCCCTTAATCAATTTTTAATGAAACTAACAGGATTGATTGAGATAATAATTACTTTCTTCCTAGGGAGAATGCCAGTAGTAAATGTTAAAAATTAGCTCCTGGTCCTAACCAGAACTACATGCGCTACATATGTTAAAATTTGCTTTCTATTAATAAAATCAGTTTAGGGCTTCCCTGGTGGCGCAGTGGTTGAGAGTCCGCCTGCCGATGCAAGGGACACGGGTTCGTGCCCCGGTCCGGGAAGATCCCACATGCCGCAGAGCGGCTGGGCCCGTGAGCCACGGCCGCTGAGCCTGTGCGTCCGGAACCTGTGCTTCGCGACGGGAGAGGCCACAACAGTGAGAGGCCCGCGTACCGCAAAAAAAAAAAAAAAAATCAGTGTATATTAGAGAGGCTTGTCCACTCACTTTGAATTTGCAAGAGAGTTGTCTTTGTTTTAAGCGGTGGTGATTGTAATTAGAGTACAGAAGCACTTAAAGGGTGTGACTAATCCTTCCCTGTAATACTCATCCTTGGCCTCGAAAATTCACCTACTGCATTAGCCCCACAAGCACAATGCCTTTGATTTTCTTCTGAGATTACTTCTGCTTTCAAAAAGGATAATTATGAAACCTGACTACGGCTTTAGGGAACTTGTTGTCTCAAAAATAGAGGAAAGAGAAGAGTGGAGAGGTTACTCAAGAGAACATTATTTCTAAAGTTCAGTGAATTTCTTGTTCCAACAATAAATTGCTTGTTCTGAATCTGAACCCATTCAGAAGTTGTGCCTGGATCTGTGACTCTTGAATCTTTAATGTGGTGAGAATTAACTAAATGAAAAGAGAAAGTAATGAGGACTTAGTGATCCATAAATGAGTCCTTTGCCCTATGAAAAAGATAAAATGTAGAAATAGTTAATTTTGAACGTATTTGATTTAATGAGACTAAAAGATGATCAATGTATGTGATAATAGTCTTTACACTACATTGCTTTGTAATCTTATTTAAGCTTTACCAGCTACTAAAGGTGATTTAAAAGAATTTTCTTATTTACTAGCTAATATAGTATATTCCCAGATGGCTAACATATATTTCAACACTTGCTATTTATTAAAGTAAGTGAGAGAGAGGCGGTGTGAACTGATGATAAAAAAATAAATACTTCCCTGGTGTAAGAATATTTAGAAGCCCTGTAGGATATTGATAGGCAATGGCATTATCTGGATGTGCGTTCTTTTTCAAAATGGCAAAATCATTCCATTTCTTTGCCGTCTAACCTTTGTTTATAAGGATGACAAATCTTTTAATTATGTTTAGCTTATCTATGACATTATACTGTAGAGTACCAGTGATTATTGCTTAAGCTGTCTATTTAATATTAATTTTCAGCTACATGCTTTCCATATTTTAAACACCTGTCCAGATTTCCTTTGATGCTTATCCTTAGAGAACATTTCCATGTCATCCTGTCAGCATTGAAGGAATACAAATTCAGATGAATTCTAATGCTGGTTAAGCAGTACCTATCTGTGGTGTATTTGCTGGGGGTGGTAGTGAGGGAAAGATACCAATTCATATTGAAACCAAATATTTGTAAGTTGAGACTATCTGGATTACTCCTTATTTTACTAGATTGTGAGCTGTTGGAGAGAGCATAGGCTGTGTATTTCCATTTATGTTTCCCTGCAGCGCTAATCACAGAGGTCTTGTGTATACTTGACATTCCCTTAATATGTTAGCTAATTGAGTTAACAGGATATTTATGTATCCATAACACCAAAGCGATTATCAGATTGACAGTTGGTACAGGCACTTATTAATCAGAATGAGCACTGGCTTTAAATTACAGTATGGCTGCATAGATATATATACATATACCAGATGAATGTAGGCCTTGATTAAAGCCACATTTTCAGTTACCATTTACCACAGGGTCACATGATTACAGTATATTCTGTATAGTTTGCTGTAATTTAGATCACCTTAAGAAGCATAAGCAACTAATGAAAGAAAGCTGTGGTTCAGGAGTCTTTTTGTAAGTACTGCCTTAAAAAATACTCCATTTGTCTTTGAGAAACCTTGGGTTTTCTGTTTGCTTCCTTGAGAAATAATTAAAGGAGAAATGAAGAAAAATCTTTGGAGAAATAATTTGAACATTTTAATGTTGCATTTGTTAACATTAGCTTTCAAATGCTTAAGTTTTTAAGACTGTAGTTCTGTGTATGGTGGAACAAATATAATAATGATGTATTATGCCATTAATTTGGGATGTTATCCAGATTTGCTTGGAATAGTCCTATTATATGTTTTGTCCCAGGTTAATTATTACTATTCACTCTCAGAAACGCCCTGGTGTGGAGGATTAAATTTATGGTCAGCTCTTGGAGGTTTACAGATGTGGCTTCTTGCATGAGTGGACAGTTACTCCTTAGCAACAGTGAATTGCTAGAGACCGCTTCATTCAAGGAACTTTTACTGTCAGGTAGTTAACAGAAAAGAAGAGGTGTGTTGCTTCCTCTCCCCCTCAAATACACATACATCTAGAACATACATGAAAGTGACAGAGAGGCCAAAATCATATTTCTGGCCACAGTGGATTTGTACGGAGAGCAGAGGAGGTTTTGTTTTGGAGAGTACAATAAACATGTAAGGTCCTAACTGAATGTTGTGAGTTCTGGATTAGCTTTTTTAAATGAAAAAGTATTTAATATGGTTCCTTGCCACCATACTAACAGTAGCTTGAAAACAAACACTGGTTATTCAAGATCTTCCTTAATTTTCAGAAAATCTATTATTTTCATTTTCTAGTGAACCAGAAAATTAGATTATTAGATAATCTAAAATTAGATTATTTTCCTGTTAGCAGTATGGTTTCTAGCACAGCGGCTATCAAACTTTTTGGTTACAGACCCCTTTATACTCTTAAAAATTACTGTAGACCCCAGAGAGCTTTTATTTATGTGTGTTATATCTATTTTTTTATTAGAAATTAAACCTGAGAAATTAAAATATTATATATATTTTTTTTTTTATTTTTTGCTGTACGCGGGCCTCTCACTGTTGTGGCCTCTCCCATTGCGGAGCACAGGCTCCGGACGCACAGGCTCAGCGGCCATGGCTCATGGGCCCAGCCGCTCCGCGGCATGTGGGATCTTCCCGGACCGGGGCATGAACCCGTGTCCCCTGCATCGGCAGGCGGACTCTCAACCACTGCGCCACGAGGGGAGCCCTAAAATATTATATTTAAAATATTATTTTGAGAGTATGCATAATAATCCCATTACATATTAAGATAATATTTTTATGAAAAATTATTTTTCCAGAATGACAACATTTAGTGCAAACAGTGGCCTTGTTTTACACTTTTGCAAATCTCTTTACTATGTGGCTTAATAGAAAAAAACCGGATTCTCCTATTTGCTTCCACATTAAATCTATTGTGATTTCACATGTCATGTAGCCTCTGGAAAACTTCATTGTATACTTGTAAGAGAATGAGCATGAAAATGGCAAATAACAGCCTAGTGTTTATGAAAGGAGTTTTGACCTTGCAGATTCCTAGAAGGGCCTTTGGGACGCCCAGGAAGCTCCAGATAACACTTTGAGAACTGCTGCTTTGCCAGAAGCTTGGCCTGTATTCGATGAATATTTTCTGCATCCTTGAGGAAGTACAATTTTGTCCCTTTATTTGAGAAGCTGTTTTGTGAATATAACATTTATTAAGCTGATTTTATAGTTCCATGAAGATTTTTGGTCTTACACAGCAAATCCACATATTAACTGATGCTGTTTGCCAAAAATGTAAGCATTTTAAAAATGTAGTTTCTAGAAATACCTTTTGAAAAATAATTTCTTGAAGTTTTTGAGAACTGTACTCGTTTTCTATTTTGTTGTGTTTTTCTGTATTTTTTTAAAAAACCAAGAGTCTGTCAGTGTTTTCAGTAAACTCAAAGTAGGGTGTAATGCTAATTATCTGTAACGAATAGTATTTTTTGGCACAATTAAGTTAAATTTAAGTTTTAATAGAAAATAAAAGCTCCTTCAGGTTGTTGATACTTTTAAATGTCTTTTTTCCCCATGGATGCTCCCTTTATAATAGTTATATTTTTAATACACCATAGATGCTGTATTTTGTAGAATTTAATTATGGTTTAATATTTGCCTTTTGTTTGTGCTACTCTTCCAGTCACTTTGCCATTAGATGTGAGCTTGTAGAGATTAATTCCTTTACAAGTTATTTGTAAAAATACTGATATTTCTATCAGAGACGTTTTTATTTGTCTAACATAGAATTTTTGTTTTCCATAGGCTTTTAGATTATAATAGGATTAAGAGATCTTAATAAAGATAAAATAGTTCACCCATTTTATAGTTAATGTAAAATTATCTTTTTTACTTTTTAGGTGTGGAGTATGCTGATAACTATTTTTGTTGCTTTAAGTTTAGTGACCATATCACCTTCTAACATATTTTTTCTTTAAAATTACTTCCATTCCTTTTTGCACCTTTGTGATTAATTACTTTATTAAGAAATAGTTTTATAGTAGTCTACATCCTGTTTTTTTTAAAAGGGTACATGGTAGATGATGTATGTGTGTATATAGTATTTAAAATATTGATACATAGAAAAGCATGTGGTGGAAGGTAATATTTAAAGATTTTTATAAAACTTTTTGTACTCAGTTTTTTTGTGCAGAATTTACTTACGAGCTTGATGACTTGACAGTAGAAATTGGTGAGACATAAGGAAAGTGATCAGGCTATCAATTTGTAACATGCTAGTGTTGATGAAATTTGTCATTTACAAGTGAGAAATAGGAAGCATAGTTCACATAGTTCTTTGCTGTGCTTTTTTCTTTCATTTGAACTGAATAGAGAAATGATAGGTGGCAACTATATGTATTAGCTCTTCCTCCATAACAAATTACTGTAGAACATAGTGGCTTAAAACAACATACATTTATTATTGAACAGTGTTTGTGGGTTAGGAATGTGGGGACAGCTTAGCTGGTCCTCTGCTTCAGGTTCTCTCAGAGGCTTTGAGATGGTCATCTCAAAGGCTTGACTAAGAAAAGATTTCTGTTCAAGTTCACTGACCTCTTTGTTGAAAAGATTCACTTCCTCTCCAGCAAGGTAGCTGGCTTCATCAGAGCATGAATGCTGAGAACACAGTAGAGGAAACCAGCAAAATAGAAGTCACTCTCTTTTGTAACCTAGTCACGGAAGTGACATCCCATCATTTTTGCTGTATTTCGCCTGTTAGAAATAAGTCATTATATCTAGACCACACTCAAGGGGAGGATATAAATACCAGAGGTTTAAAAAGACATGAATACCAGGAGGCAGGGATCAATGGAAGCCATGTCAGAGATTGCTGTCACCTAACTCTTTTTTGCCATAGCTATATAAAATAATGATGCGATACATTGAGAATGCGTTCATAGATAATTTTTATTCATTTATCTTTTGAGTACAGAGCCTCTATTAACTTTGTGGGAGTTTTTGAAATATAGATGAGTTCCTTTTGAAATGATGTTTTGCTGGTCTGCTGTTTTTCTGTTTCTTTGCATCAATTCCTTCAGTCCCTAAATAGGATTTTAGGTCCCCCGCCCACCCCTATGCTTCTTTACGTTTACAGGTACTTACTACATACTGGAATTAGTTAAATCCTATCCTCTTTCTTTTGAAGATGCCAGATAGTATAGGCTGTCATACAGCTGTACTGTTTTACTTAAGAATGTCACATGCTTTGTTTGTTTCATAAAAATTTGAAATGGAATTTATGTTACGTGTTTTGAATATTGAGGTGCTCAGCAATGCAATTAGTAGAGAAGTTTGGATGTAATCCAGTGATTCTCAAAGTATGGTCTCTGGTCAGCAACATCATCATCTCCTTGTTTGGGATGCAGATTCTCTGCCTCACTCCAGACCTACTGAATCAGAAATTCTAGGGGTGGGGCCCAGCAGTCTGTGTTTTAACAAATTCTTGAGGTGATTCTGATGGCCACTGAAGTTTCAAAACCACTAATCTATTCATTCCCTTTAGAACTTGAATATTACTTTTCCAAAAACTTTTGGCCTGTAATAGAAATCTTGCTTTTACTATTGTATGCAAAACTTTCCAGGAAAACAAACATTTTTTCCCTACTCATTTTACAGATAAAGGATACAAAAAAGAAACACAGTGCGTGCTTTGTGTATTTCAAGCCTGTTGGCTGGGCAGCATGTATGTTGGCCAGGAAAGGTGGGATTGTTGAGGGAGACAGGACGGGGAATTTTGAGATGCATTTTCTTTTTCATTACACTGTTTCTTTTGTTAACAAAAGTCAAATACCAAACGGTGATTATTTTAGATGAAAATTGTGTTGGTTTAACATTATATCACATATTAAATTTTCTTAGTAGCATTTTGAAAATACATTTGCTAATTGTCAAAGAATGGATTGTATAATGTTTCATCAACTTATAAGTTCTGTTTCAGTGAACACTTACCAATAAAGATTTGCATTGAATTATCTTAGATGAAATATGGGTCTCACAAGAACGACCCTTTATAAGTTCTCATGCCAGCTTTCTGATGTGTAGATACTGTTTGGAAAGACATCTATATCTGTCTATCTATGTTGCATAATTTTTGTGTTCTTAATTCTTTTCAGTTGATTTTTAAAAAATCTGTCCTATGATACTACTGTAGTAAGATTAAAATTTAAAGCAAAATGTTTGTAATTTTAACTACCTTCATAGCATACTTAATAGTTTGGTTATATTCTTTTATGTTTTGTGAAAGTTTGATAAATGTTTTTGAGGACTAAATTTTGAGAGGTCTGACTAGTATTTTCTTACTTCACATGAATTCACATTGTAGTTAGCTGAAGTGATGCATGTTGCTCGTGTATTGACTTAGGTAAAGTTATTAGGATTACAGAGTGGGTTGCTGAAGTTGGTATGGTTTTTTATCTTACACACCTAGGACAATAGTCATTCATTTAAATAGTCATGTATTCAAATGTGAAAACCAGGTCACATAGTGAAGTACAGTAGTGCTCTAAAAATATCTATACTGTTCTAAAGAAAATCAAGTAATAGTAGACATTAAGAACATTTAATATGCTCTGCCTTCCTTGATTTCCCATTTAGTTTGGTGTCTGGGACTCTGCTAGTTTGTATTGTTTGCTGGATTCTTTTAGCTTAGTAATATAGGAAGCAGCAAGGTACCTCAGGATGGATGAGAATTACCATGAAGTGTAGCTCATTTTAGTAGACTTGTGGATGCCTAATGATTTTTGAAACATGATAGCTGCCTTATATATCTTTTTCAATCTTCTTGGTTTTTGTAAGGTTAGCATATCCTTTTATTGCACGGGTGGTTAAATAAGGTGCTTCATTCTCCATTTTAAGGCCATTTGCTGCTTTAAGATCTTTTTGTATAAACCTCTTATTCTGGTAAAACATGCACAGAAAAAGTTTAAATAAATTATTGGCAGATGTTTCATTGACAAGCAAACACTTGAAAGCAGTTTTTTTCATTATTTTTTCCTATGCATTTAGTTAATGAATTAGATTACTTTTTCCTCTTTGGGAATAGTTTTGATGCAGTTTTTAAGATTGGATTTAGTAAACCATTCTGACTTTGTTGAAGTTATTATGGTATAAAATTTTCCTTGAAAAAGTTATTTGTTTTTTAAAGCTTTCTACTTAGAAATGTCATTTTTCTTCAGACAAGAAACTTATAATTTGCATGACACATAAATTTTAAATTAGGGTTTATAGGCACATTTGACCAATGTAAATTGAGAATGTTTATACATAGCTTATTTCTTAAAGTTTTTAATGTGTGCCAATGAGTGAGAGTCACTCAAATTAGTATTTACTGACTTCTATAGAAGTAGACTTAGTGTGCCCTAGGGGTTTATATATATGAATTGGCTATACCCCCTATCCTCCCACAAGTCAAGGGAAGTAATAACCTTTCCACACTCCTGTCAACAACAGTAAAACAATTCACACTAACACTTGAACCTCCCTCGTAGCTTTACTAAAGTGAATATCCATCATCTTCCAAGTTACCTTGCACTACCTGCAGTATTTAAGAGCCCATTGATCACTTTCCCTATTAAACTGTTAAAATAACAAGATCAGATGTGGATTATCAAACTTAGTGTTAATTTCATGGAGTTTGATATTTGTGTATGCACAAGTGTGCTTTTTTAACTGATGTCTCACTTCGTTTGTGATCACAACTAGTGGGGGAAACCTTGTTATGAAGTTGTTAGACTGGGATTTCATCAGGAAGTCTGACGTTACATTTGAATTGTTGGTCCTCTGCAAGAAAACAGAATGCTGCTTTTGACGGAATAAGCCAGGACAATGAGGCGAGGGGTTTTATTTCAAGGTTTTCTTTGGTGATGGCATAAATACATAACAGGTTATGAAATCCAATTACTATATTAAATTTCATCACTTGTTTTTTAGGTATTCCAATAACTGTACCACCTCCAGGTAAAACTTTTTTTCATGTTTTCTCCATCATTGTTAATAAACATGAAATTTCAAGCTTACAGTTACAGGAGGGACAGTGTTGATGTGGTTAGAATGTGGAATAGGCTATTGGGATTTCAAGGTCCTATTTTCAGCTCTGCCTTTGCTTCATTCGAGTTTTGATTAAGATATTTAGTTTTCTTATACTTGTCTTACCCATTTCTGTAGAAATAGACATTCTGAGAAAGTTTTTACCATATCAATTTATTAAAGAAAACAGTATAGGATTAAAAATAAAATTTTTATTAAAAATTGTTTTTTCAGACCAATGAATTTTTTATGTATGATGAAGTGACTGCAAGAGAAGAGAAAGGTCATTTATCTTGACTTTATCATGGTTTCTAATTTTTTTATTTTTACCCTGCTGGCATAACTCAATGTTGTGAGAAAGTATGTTCTGAACCACACAGATAGGTTGACAGCTGGACAGATGGTTGTTCATAGAGCAATGCTTAAATTGTTCATTGTTGTAAGGATATGATCAATAGGAGTTTATATGTGGCCCAGTGTTTTTTACATTTTTTTTCAGTTCTTTTTAAATTTTTTTATTTTTTGGTAGTGTGATACAAATATGATAGCAAGTGTATTTACTGAGTTCAGTATTAAAAGTCAAGAAGTATAAAGAGAATGAGAGGTGACAATGCTTGGAAGGGTGGGTCTAAGTTCAAAATGACCTTGATAAACAGAAAATAGTGGAGTTTAGATAGCATGGGATAGTATACATATTTAGATGTGGGATAGAGAGTCACTGATTATGTATGAATATGGCTGAACAAGACTTACTAGGAAAAGTCATAAAGGAATCATTGGTGTGTCTTTATAGGTTAAAAAGAAGTGATTGTAAGGCTATATAAAGTAGGATTGTGACTCTAGGACTAATGTAGTAATTGCTAGATTTTACACTGCTAAGATGCTTAATAGAGGAGAACCAAAAAACTGGACACAGTGAAGATGAGCATGGTGAATTTGAAACAGCTTGAAGCAGGGCTAAAAATGGATTTAAATGGACTTTTGAGAAGGGTTAGGAGAACGGGGGTTCATTTTTACCTAGAATACTAAAAAGGAGGCTTAGTGGAAGTGTTTTCAAACATGTATTTCAATGGATTGCTTTTTGTCCTCATGCAGATCAGCATATGAATTGTAGTGAGAGAGATTCGAATTATATAATTTAATGTGCTTCCTAATAGGGTTATTAAAGCTTGGCAGGAATTGGTGTCATAGGAATTGGTATCATAAGTTGTAGAATCTTCAAGTCTTGTTGGGATATTTTATTGCCTATCTGAATTTGAAAGTGCAGAGTAGATTTAACTGTTAAGGTCCCTTGTAGCCATACTCTGTGGTATTTCATTTAGGTTTTGTGAATTATTCAGAATACAGACCTCATGATATAAAGGTGCAAATTATTTCATTTCTAAACTAATTTAAAAACTATATTATGTGCTTTTCTTTATAAATTAGTTCTTTAGGGTTGTGCTATTTAAAACGTATTTTATGATGGATGTTCTCAGCCTTAAGCATTTATATATTTACTGGTAAGATTTTATTTATAAATTATACATTTTAAGGAAATTTATATACATCTAAACTCTCAAAATATTTTTTGAAAGAGGTAAATGCTATTTTATTTGCTTTTCTTCTAAAATACTTAAAATATATCTGGTGGCAACACTACTACTGTTTTATATATGGAAAAGGTAAGGCATTGAGATTAACTTTCTCACACTCACAAAATGGGCTGTGTGTGGTGCTGAAAATAAGACCGGGTGTCCTGACTCCCAGTTTGTGCTCTGTGTATTAGACCAGACTGTTCATTTAAAGTTATATTCCTCCAAAAATCTGTTCATAAATTTAAGCTCCATTTTTTTCCTGTCCATTATAACATAGAGAAGCACGTTATATCCCCAGAGAAATTTAGTGACACACAGCAACCTTAACTCTTGGCATTAAGTGTACATTCTGTTAACTTTTTTTATCTTATGATTGAATGTTTCAGGTTTTCCTCCTCCACCAGGCGCTCCACCTCCGTCTCTTATACCAACAATAGAAAGGTAATCAGTATGGGTACTGTAAACTTTTTTATCATTGATAGGCTTCTGACAGAAGAATCATATGTATCTTGGTAATATTTTCAAAGGTCTAATTTTATAAACAATAGTACCTGCCTTTTAATTCATAAGTCTAGATCTGTATTAGTTACTTTTATATAAGATGTTGGACCTATAGCCTAGTAACAAAACAGGACAAAGAAAACTAAATGATAGTATTTTGAAATATCTTGCTTTGATTTACGATACTCTTATTAAAGAAACCCCTAGATTGTAAAAACTTGGCTGTAGTCCAGTTTTGTGGGATGTACAAACAGATGACTAGTAATCATGAATAATGCATGTCTGTTTTAGGATTAAGTAAGGATAACTATTTTCAGGGACCACAGTAAAGCAAAGCTGCCTTATTCCTTGCTACCCAGTGCAACTCAGCTTCCACAAAGGAAGACTGGATCCCTTCTGCGTGGCAGTAGCCTTATTTTTTATACCCTGCGTTTATGGTTTATGTTATTTGGAATGCTGTGGTAAAGAACATTTACCTCATGGATGGCAATACCATGTTTAACCCCATAGGTTTTGGAATCACACTAACCTGGTTCAAATTTGGCTTCAGAATTTCCCAGCTTTGTGTTCTTAGGCAAGGTTCAAAACTATTCATTGAGACTCAGATTCCTCTTTTACCAAATGGGGGGTTGATAGAGTTGTGAAGATTAAAACAGCTAGTGAATATAAGGCATCAGCACCATTCTTTGCAGATAGAAATAACTAATAAATGGTAGCTATTATTATTTCCTCTTAAGTGGCAAATAAACTCTATAAAAAATACTGTATTTCTGAAAAAGTGATTTAAACTATATAAAAAGAAAAATTGTGAGAACTTCACATCAATAACATCAAACCAAGCATATGATTTTCAAACGAAATGATAAAACTCGGTGAAGTGTGACTTGTGAGACCATAGGATTTAATTTTAAGTTCTTGTTAAATATATATTTGTTTTCACAATCAAAATGTTAAAAAGTAGTATTTGTTGATTCTATCAGTAGCACTGAATTTCTGATTTTTAATTATTAAAGTCAGTTTTTTAAGGCAAAATTTTAACTAAAGTCTGAAATACTTTGTTAGTCTCGAAGTTTCTGTTACTTATTGTGAGTCAGGCTGAATTGATTGGATTACTCATGTTAATACTAACAAGCTGTATTTTCTTTACAAGTAGGTGTTAGGTTTTGAGGTTAAACAGCCTGTGTTTTTAAGTATTAAAAAATAAAGTTACAGAATTACAGGTACCATTATATGGTGGTTAAATAAAAGTCATAATTCTGCCCTATGTTTTGCATTTGCACCAAATTATTAAAATTCAGAACTTCCTTGCAACACATAAAAATATATTTTTCTTCGACAGTGGACATTCCTCTGGTTATGATAGTCGTTCTGCACGTGCTTTTCCATATGGCAATGGTAAGTGTTACTTTTCAATTGCCCAGATTCAGTTTGAATCAGTAAAGTACTTAAGTACTTTTAAAACAATAGAAACATACTTCCATGGTTTAAAGTACTATCTTACAGAGCAATTAAAAAATATTTACTACAGGAATAACTAGGTCTTACATATATTCCAGATTACTTAACAGAATACTTTTCATTTCTTTACCAGCCGTACTTTTAAAAATTAACAGATGGTGACACAACGGGGATATTTGTCCCTTGCCTTTTCCCAAAAGGATTTAGGATTTGTCACCAAATTGTCGATCTTCACTGTCCATAATCTTTTTTGTTTCTTAACTCACGGTATCTGACTAACCTCTTTCTCATCTTTCCCCCTCACTGGTTTATCTTTTCTTCTAGATCATTTGGCAGGTTCTCTTTCATGTTCACTCTTGACAACTTTGTCCCTTCTAAGGCCTTCTGATACCACTTTCTGCTTAGATTTCTTGATCCATTCGTTTATTTTAAAAGAGCTGTGCATTGTACTGGGTTTTAAGGATACAGTAAACTAGACAAAGGTTTGCTTGCCTTCAGCAAATTATAAGCTAGTGAGGAAACAACCAGGTGACAGAAGAGGGTATCATAGGAGCATGATGGAGGGGTCTCCCACTCCACTGGAGTGGGGTGTAGATGATTTGGGGTTCAAATCATGTTCAGAAACATGGGGGTGTGAGAGAGTGTGGTAGGCTTTATGAACTGAATGAAGTGTGGTGTGGTTGGAGAGTAGAGAATATGATGAACATCTAGAGATGAGATAAGAAATGGTGCGGGGCGTTACAGCCATGCTGTAGAGTTTAGACCTTAGTCAGAGGGCTGTGAGGAGCCATTTAGTTTTATGCTGATTTGCATAATTGTTAGGTTTACATTTGAAAAGCGTCCATTCTGGCTACTTACTGTGAGGAAATTGGGTATTTGTAGGGTGGGAGAAAGGTGGGAAGGGCAGAGATGCCTGCTTGATTGGGAGAACAAGAAGCTGTTAGAGTAATCCAGGGGAAGAAATTTATAGTCCTGAATTCAGCGGATACCATGGGGGATGGAGAAAATTAGTGGTTCCAAAGGCATTTAAGGAGTAGAATTTGTAAGTCTTGGTGAGAGAGCAGATATTTGTATCAGTCATACACTTTCAGTTAACCTTCTAGGGATCTGTGTCAGGGTTTTGTACTGTCCTTCAGACCCACCTTGTTCAAAGCCACATATTCCATTCATTCACATCAAAAGGTAGTCTTTCTGTTATTTGTTTCAGTGGTTATGTCACATTTTTTCCCCTGGGCTCCCAGGAAGTCATACTCTTTGGGTTGGAATCTTGCTTCCCCCTCTCATTATTTATGTGACTTTTGTAGATCTTTAACCATTAAATGGAGAGCATAATTCTTCCTCGTAAGATCAGAGAGAATACACTGAAGCATGTTAGTCCTGCCGTTTAATAAACGCTCAAATATTAGCTGTTATTTTTCTGATTATCCCCATCTCCAACAAGCTCCAAGTTCCTTCCCTTTTCTGCACTTGGAGGCGGTTATTTTTCACATCTGTTAATTGAAGTTTGAATATAAAGGACTCAGCACAGTACCTATAATATGTACATACTCGATAAGCATTACTTATAAAATTAATTAAAATTTATTTTTACCTTTTTTATGGCACTTAACATTTTCTGCTTTGTCATTAAATTCCTGTGTATTTGTTTCAGTACAGATGAACTTGAGGAATAGCCCATATCAGAAAGAATAAGACTTTATTCTTGAGATTACCTGCGCAGTTTCCTTGTGGAAGATTTCATTTTTTAAAAACTGGCTAATTAAGCATTTAACTTTTTCTCAAAGTAATACATGCACATTTTTAATAAAAAAGCAAGAGTTTTCTGCTCACTCTTTACCACCCCCTCAGAGATGAGCGGTTTTCCCCCCCTTTAAGGAGGATGTCTTTAGTACTAACAATGATAAAGCATAGCACAAGAATTAAATAAAGTTAGGTTTCTTTATTCCAGTCAAACAAAGCCTTGGAATGAAGATAATAAATACTACTTCCTCTTTATTGGTAATTCTGTTTTACCTTGTTTATTTTAGAATTTTGTAGTTCATCCTCAAACACTACTAAACTAAGTAACTGTAGATGGAAAACAATGATTTTTCTTGATGTGCATATTAAGATTGTGCTTATAAAGCAATACCTAGTTTAAAAGTAATCTTTGCAGGAATATTGAAGAACTGCAGAGACAGACATTTTTAATGGTTTTTAGTTCTTTTGATGGTCTGCATGGCATTTCTACATAGGCTTGTCACCCTATTTCTTGATTATATAACTTTAGATACCATCTGTTATCTTCTTAGTGTGATGGATGTATATTTTACTCACTTACCATCATTACTCCTCTCCTATTCCCCTGAAGTGAAATTATATTACTCTCTTTCTTCCTCTTTTTATTTATATACCTACCCTCTGTTTCATGTACCATCAGTCTCTACTACTGTGTGTCTTTCCAAGCCTTCACCTCTTTTTCCACCTCTGCCTCCCTGCTTTGATCAGCTATACTTCTAACATTCTGTCTTGTAACCAAAATTATCTGTGCCCTGACAAATATTTTATTCTAAAAGCTAAACAAAAACCATAGTCACATTATTATGACTGTGTAAATATTCTGTACTATAGCGATAATTATACTCAAGCCCCTCAAAGAAGAAGTTTTCTACGGCAAATCCATTAAAAGTATCATTTTTTTTAACACTTCATCAACTGTGCAAAGTCATACCACATTTTAATTGGGTTCATATTTGAACCATGAGTTTCTCTACCTCAAGTATACAAAGATATTCTTTAATACATTTTTCCCCAAAAAAAGTTTTCAAATTTCTTTTTCCTGTGTAAGTTCTTAAGCCATCTGGAATTAATTTTTGCCTACGTTATGAAGTAAAGATGTAATTGTCCCAGTGTTACTTGTTTATCCTTCCTGAGGGATCTACAGTGTCATCTCTCCATTCGTGTATCAAGTTTCCCTGCATGCATGGATCTGTTTCTTACCTTTCTAGACTATTCATTTGGTTAATTTAACTGTCCCTGTGCTAATAATGCCACACTACCTTAATTTTGAGTTCTATAGTAAATCTGATACCTGGTTCAGCAAAATCTGTCTACCTTATTCTGCTTCAGAAGTATTTTGGGGCCATTGCTCTTACATATCTATTTTAGAATCAACTTTGCAAGTTCCATGAAAAACTCTGTTGATTTTTATTAATAATTAACGCTTATATTATGCATACAGTATGACAAACACTGTTAATTCATGTAATCCTCACAGTCTTATAAAGCAGGCATAGTGTTACGACCCTCATTTTATGGACTAGGGAATTTAAGAACAGCCAGATTAAGGCCATTTTCCCAATGTCACTCAATAAGTGGCAGAGGCAGGCTTTGAAACCTTGTAGCCTTGCTCCAGGGTCCTTTCTCTTACTATACCATGTTATTTGTTACATTGATGCTCTAGAACAGTTTGTAGGAATTCATACCTTACAACATTGTGTTAATGTATGAACAAGTACTCTCCATTTAGGGAGGTGTTCTTTAATGTGTTTCAGCTGAGTGCTATAATTGTCTCCATACACTTCTTGCACATCTTTGGTTAGATTTAGTCATAGGTACCTATTTTTTGTTCTTATAAATGGTATATTCATTTAAACTCCATGTACTGTTTGTGTTTGCTTGTATTTAGAAATATAATTGGTTTTTGTTTTATTTATATGTATATATATTGATCAATATATATGTTGATCTTGTAGCCTGTTACCTGTTGAACTCTCACTATAATTTGTCTGTGAATTCCCTTCAGGCAGTATCATGTGCAATTCCTTCCGTTTCAGATTCTTATTCCTCACCTCCCCCCGCCCCCAACCCCCTTTTTTTGGTCTTATTGTTCTGGCTAGGACCTCCATATAATATTGAAGTACTGAAAGTGGAGTTCTTGTCTGGGGATACCCCCCCCTTTTTTTTTTTTAAAGGAAATGCTTTTATATTTATACTGCTAGATTTTTTCTCTTAGGTTTTTGACAAAACCCTATGTCAGTACAAGGAAAATCTCTTCTTGCTTTCCAAGGGCTTTTAAACTGTGAACGGGTATTGAGCTTTATCAGATGCTTTCTGAGTTGATCATGCTGTTTGCCTTCTCGGTTAAATGTGGCAGATTTCTAAATTTTTCTAATATTGAGCCACCTTTTATTTGCTGAGGTAAACCTAACTTAGTCATGATTGATTTTACCTTTTTATTTTTAAAAATAAACACTGACTTATTTAGGATTTTGACAACTAAGTTCATATGTAAGATTGTTCTGTGATTCTCCTTTATTTGTACTGTCCTTAACTGGTTTTAGTATTAAGGTTATACAAGCCACATGGGATAAGTTAGGCAATAATCTTTTTTTCCTATTCTCTGGAAGTTTGTATATTATTAGAGTGATCTGTAGTAAAAGTCACCTGTAAAAGCCATCTGGTCTTGTGGGAAGGTTTTAAATTACGGATTTAATGTCTTTAATAATTATGGTACTAGTCAAGATTTCTTTTCACTCTTGAGTTACTTAATGTGTTGGTCTAAAGTATATAATATTCTCTGTATTGTTTAATCTCTGCAACATCTGTAGTTGTAGTCCCTTATTGGTTCTGATAATTTTTATGAGGTCTCTTTTTTCTTAATCCTGTCAGAAGATTATCATGTTTTATTCATCTAGTCTTTAAAAACCAACTTTTAGCTTTGTTTATTGTATGGTAGTTTTCTATTTACTTGATTTCTACTTTTATCTTTATTATCTCCCTTCTGTTAGATTATTCTATTTTTTCCTAGGTTCATAAGTTGAAAGCTTAATTCATTCACTTTCCATCTTTTCTAATGTAGTGTTTTTTAAGATTAATTTCCCTCCAGAACAGTTTTCATTTCTAGACTTTTGATATATTGTGTTTTTGTTTATGTTCGGTTTTTAAATTATTTTAAATTTATGACTTTTTTGACCCCTGAGTTATCAGAAGTGTGTTTTAAATTTGATGTATATAGAGATTATTTTCCCATAATTTTAAATTTTTACTTCTAATTTAAATTGTATGGTGGTCAGAGAACATGGTGTCTATTACACTTATCCTTTGAAAGTACATAGTATATTTTTATAAATGTTTCATATGGGTGAGAAGAATGAGTATTCTTTACCTGCCCTGGGCAGTATTCTATGTTATGTCCATTAAATCAACTTTGTTAGCGGTATTTTGCTCGGTCCTCATATATCTATAGTGATTTTTTTGTTTGCTTGAAGTGTCAGTAATTGAAAGAGTATGTTAATCTCCCATGATCATGGTGGATTTTTCTATTTCTACCTGTATTCTGTTAGTTTTTACTCTGTAAAAAGTAAGGCAATGGTGTTAGATATTTGGAAGTTTAATTTGTTCTGTCTTCTTGGTCAGTTGCATCCTCCACCTTCAAGTAGTCATCCTTTCTTCCCCGAGTAATCCTTTTTGTATGAGTCTGCTTTAATACAGCTGCTCATATGGAAATTGGGGGATATTAGTGTTTTATTTTATTACTATCTTATTAGTATTTTATTTTATTTTATTAGTATTTTCCTTTTTTTCCTCCCATTCTTTTACTTTCAACCATTTTGTGTGTTTTTTATGTCTCTTATCTTCAGCATTTAGGTAGAATTTTTAAAAGTACAAATCAATAATCTCTGTCACTTAACTGATTAATTAATTCAGTGTCTTTTGTATTGTGATTTTTGAGCTATTCATACTTGTCTCCCATACCCCCATTCTTTCTAGTTCTGTTTTGAATTGACTGAATTTTTCAGGTGATTTTTTAAAAATTCTATTTTTCCCTACAGTTTTGAAATAATATACTTATTTCTGTTTTTTAGTGGTTACTCTTGAAATGTAATATGCACATATCTGGTAGAAGTTTTTTTTGGTGAACTCTGTTGTTTATAACTTTCGCTTATTTTTGTTTATGAATGCCTTTGTTTTAATCTTATTCTTGAAATATAATTTTGAGTACATATTTCTAGGTTGATTGTTACTTTCTTTCAGCACTTTGAAGATGTCCTTATGTATTCTGGTTTATATTTTTGATGTATTGGGAAGTTTGTGGTGTATCTAATTCTCATTTGCTGTTCACCTTGCAAAATGAAGAGTCTTTATATGTTAGATCTTTAAGGTTTGTTTCTGGTTATTTACCCAGACTGTGGCTATTCACCATATGTTATTTCTCTATTCTATATATAAAATAAATGTTTTTTAATCTAGTGAAGCATTTTTGTGGGATATTTACTTTTTTTGGTCTTCTTTGTTTTTTAGGTACCATAACTTTTGTTTTTAATTATCATTATTTTTTCTCTGTAGTTGCCTTTCCCCACCTTCCTGGTTCTGCTCCTTCATGGCCTAGTCTTGTGGACACCAGCAAGCAATGGGACTATTACTCAAGAAGAGAGAAAGACCGAGACAGAGACAGAGACAGAGACCGAGAACGAGATCGTGATCGAGACAGAGAAAGAGAACGCACCAGAGAGAGAGAGAGGGAGCGTGATCATAGTCCCACGCCGAGTGTTTTCAACAGGTATGTTTAGCGTGCAGTAATTTGTACACCTGTATTTTATATGCACTTTAGAATTAATATTCAGTGCCAGGATGGAAGATCCACTACAATTGGGAAAGGATTGCTTGAAGAGTAGTTAGGATAGCCATTTTAAAAGCATCAAGGCTGTTTATTCATAAGGACTTCCCACTACCTAAAGCAGCAGTCTTCAAATTTGTTTGTTCATTTCTTCCTTAAAACAATTTTGAAAACGTCATACCCCCTCACATATTTTTATCTTAGCATCAAAAATTTTTCACCTTAAGTATAAATAGTTGGCTATATAGATATAATTTCCAGTCTGTTACAAATCTCACAATTTTAAAATAAAGTTATCATTACTCTATGAAATATATCCATTGGATTAAGAATACTATAGTGATTTGCTGAACATCATTATCCATTTTTAAAAAATATATAAACAAGCTCTGTAACCCTTGGAAATTCTGCCTTTCTTTTTGTGCTTGAATTCTTACTTCTGAGCCACATCCCCCAAATAATTTTATTCTAATGCAAAATATTTTTTTTCTTGAAAAAGTTTTTTTAATTGATCCATCCTATCAATCTTCCCTGCAACATACCTATGTAAGTTAAAATGTATTAAAAAATTAATGACCATAAGATTAAGTATTTAAAATTTTTTTGATTTTTAGTTATTTATTTTTATATATAAATATAATACAAATTCTGAAAAATAATTTAACATAACTACATTCTTTAATGTGATGGAAGAGCTTCTTCCCATCCCTAAATAATATTTGTATCCATGAATGAATGTCACTACTGTTAGGGGAAAAAAAGGCTTTGCCATTAATTATATTTCTTTCTTTCTTTCTTTTTTTAATATATAGATGTAAGCATTGAGAAACCTTGTTCACATAAAATATGTAAATAAGAATTGATGGAATTTTGTTGCGGTTCTGTCACTAAGTTATTTGAGCACTTTAAGATTTAGTGATATGTCAAAATTACACAACTAACCTGTCATCAAAAGTTATTTTTAAGAATCTATTAGCTCATGGCTCAGTTTTCTTAAAAGCAGATAATTGGAAACCACCTGATTGTTACTTGGTGAAATTGTTTTCTACGACTGCTACAATAAAAGTACCATAAACTGGTTAGCCTAGAACAACAGAAATTTACTCTCACAGGTCTGGAGGCTAGAGGTCTGATATCAAGGTGGCAGCAGGTTTAGTTCCTTTTTGTAGGCTTTGAGAGAATTTGTTCCCCGCCTCTCTTGTAACTTCTGGTGGTTGTTAGCAATCCTTGGTATCCCTTGGTTTGTAGATGATGCTTCACTCCAGTCTGTGTCTGTCTTCACACAGCATTCTCCTCTCTGTGTCTGTGTACAAATTTCCCTATTTTTATAAGGATAACAGTCTTTGGATTAGGGTGCAGCCAAATCCAGTCTGACCTCATCTTGCCTTGATGATTACATCTGCAAAGACCCTGTTTCCAAAGTCTTTAGTTTTCTCAGTTTCTTGGAAGAACACCAAAAGGGCTTTACCAAGACTTATCAGGAGACTACCAATTATACTTAATACTCTTTATTTTAGAGGCACCCTGTTCAACTTAATATGCTTAGAAAGGGTTAGGAAAATGGAAATATATCTTTTCCAAGATGTCTGTAAAAATGAAACACCTTTATGTGTATTTGATATTTATTTTCATGCAAACCTGGAGCTGCAAATTTCCCCCATTCCATTTATGGAAAATAGCTACCAAATAACTTAATTGGTAAAAGACAGCTCCTATTGTCAAGCCAGCCAGCCACATCACACCCAATTTCTATGGGAAAAAAGTCTGACTTCATTTTTCTGTTCAGTTAAATGAGTTAATCCATATTTCCTATCTAAGTCTAAGATAAAATAGTCACAGAATTCGAAATAAGGTGCTGCCTCCCCAGCACTTTGTTTTGCTTTCCTTCAGAAGGAATTTTTGGTTTTGTTTTTTTACTAGTTCAGGGGAAATTCTTATGACTCCACACTACTCTACACGATATCTGACGTTAGAACATCCCAGGACACAGGCCAAAATATTCCATTTCTTACTTCATACTTTGTAGCAGACAGATGTATAAGAGAGAAAGGCCTAAAGCCCTATAGAAGCTTTATGGTTCTTTGAATAAAATAGGTCTTACTGACACTAATATTTTAAATTAGATCTTCTTGATGCCATGAAGGTTTTTATACCCTGAGCCAATAATGTACTATAGTAAAATTGGTGAAAAGAATGCCTTTCTTTTGTAAAAGGCCAGGAACGTGATGGAGGAGAGGTTAGCCAGAGAAGTGGCATATGTGTTACCTGCAGGTGTATCATTAGGCAGTTCATGTTCAGGAAAGAATAAATATGGAAGTTGGGGACCTAGAAGTTGATTCCCTAAAACTTTCTGTGCCATTGGAAAGAATTCATTTATTGCTAGCATAAAGAATAAAGTCAAAATTCTTTTTATGATCCGTAAGTCACAAATTCAGTGCACCTTTCTATATTTTAACCCTGGTTCTCTCCCAAGGCAATATACTGCATGCTCTAGCTACACTGAACTACTTGCTCTTCTGGAAAGCCTCATAGTTTAGCACTTCCCTTCTTCATGTTATTCCTGTCCTCTCTGCCTCACAAACTTTTACTGATTCTTCAAGGTTCAGCTCATATTTGTCTTCTGTGAGCAACTCTGAACCTGAAAGAAAGAATTAATTATACCTTCACATGCTCCCTAAGCATTTTGTGTATTTTCTTTAAAGCATATCTTTCTCTTTCAGGGTGTTGACTATCATTTTTCATCTCTGTATCCTCAGCACTTTGTACAGTAATGCCTGGAACATAATGAATGTGTCAGTGAATAAAATGACTTAACGTGTATCAGGGAGGAGGGTGAATACAATAGAGAAAAAACAATCTTGAAAACTGTCGGTGAAACTGTGTTAGCCAGATAGGTTTTGAAATGGATAAAAATCAACCTTTATATCAAAGCGTTAATTTGGGCATCTTTCTAATTAACATATCCATTTAGGTACCTTCACAATGTAGAATGAAATAAGTTAAAGATAACTTTCTTTTGTTATCAGCTATTTTTATGGATAAGATAAATGTAAGGTACACAGTTTTCTGATTTTGCTGGATGAGATGAAGTAATATATCAGTTCAAGATGTGAGCATATGCTTGATTCAGACAGCATTTGTTTTGTTAGATGTGATCATGTAATCATATACTTCTTAATCCAGAAAGGTCCTTAGGGGTTATCCAGTCTAAATTTTGATTTGTCAGATGAGGAAATGGAAGCATAGAGAAATTAAAGCAACACTAGAGCCATACTGTCTACTGGAAATATGGTTGAGATATTACTTAAAATCCTTTCTAGTCTTGAAATTAGGTAGTTTAAAAATTCTCTTATTTTTCATTTGTTTTTATTACTCTTTCTGTACTTGATTTTTTTTTTTTTTCTTTCGGGGGTGGTGGGGAACCAGATTCATTCTTTCATTCATGTAACTGACATTTTTTTTTTAACATCTTTATTGGAGTACAATTGCTTTACAATGGTGTGTTAGTTTCTGCTGTATAACAAAGTGAATCAGCTATACATATACATATATCCCCATATCTCTTCCCTCTTGCGTCTCCCTCCCACCCTCCCTATCCCACCGCTCTAGGTGGACACAAAGCACTGAGCTGATCTCCCTGTGCTATGTGGCTGCTTCCCACTAGGTAGCTATTTTACATTTGGTAGTGTGTATGTGTCCGTGCCACTCTCTCACGTAACTGACAATTTTGAGTCCCTGTTATGTACCAGGCACAGTTGTGTGCTGAGGATACAGAATTACTCATACACTGTCGTTATAGATTTAACCATATAATATTGTCACGATATCTAGGACTGGTTAGAAGTTTAAAACTTTATGTAAAAAAAAGTACAAGAAGAAACTCCATAGGATTTATTAATCTTTTTCCTTCCTGTAGCTCCTAATAATATGACTTACACACTGTAGGCACCTGGTAACATTTTATTGACTAAATAAGTAAAGGTATGGTACATACATGCATGTTTGTGTGTATGTGTGTGTGTTGAAGTGTATGTTTCGAGTTTATGTGGTGGGACATGTGCTGTTAATAACTTCAGTCACATAAGTGCATGAATTCTGTTAAGTTCAAGGGCATTACTTTCTGGGAAGTTGAGTTGTTTCTAATGTAGTTAAAATTAATATATTTGAGATAGTATTGTTATCTCTAGAATGTACGTGTTCACAAGGTAAGGAGCTTAATGCAGAACTTCGTAGGAAAGAAGTCTGAAATGAATTGCTTTGCTAGAGCTCGTAACTTTTCTTTGCATAAATAATAGTGTTTATAAAATTCTTTGTCCATTTCAAACACACTCATGCACAAATGCTACTTAATTTTTATTGAAGCTAAAAGTGTTAATCGTTAAACCATATTTGATTTTCATGTTGCTAGCTGTAGGGCATCAGGAGTAATGTTTACTTAAATCTGACTAAAAGTTCAGGGCCAGAGAGGGAAAAAAAGGTGGAAGAATTTTGTGTTGTTCTGAATTATCCCAGGAATAAAGTGTTCTCTGGAAAATCCAAATGAAGTATAAGTAAAGGCCTTTTTTTTTTTCTCAAGACTGAGATTTCAGCAATATGGCATGTAGTATGTGTTGTTACAAATTACAGAGTCATTGTTTTGAAAATTACAGACCAGTTTCAACATCTGTTTTTTAGGCCGCTTAATTGTGGGCCAGAGAGAAGGCTGGTCATTCTAGGGTGTTTGAAATGAGCTCTAATGGTTTCCAGGCTCAGAGAAACCTTTGTGCTGCAGCTGCTTATCAGAGAAGGGGTCTTTATATTTTGTGTACGAGACCAAATCTTCCACCATCTGTAGGAAGGGTCCCATCAGATGGCTGCCTTCAGAATCTTAAAGGCCTCAGAGCTAACAAGAATTGGTGTGAGGGTGAGAGGGAAAAAACAGGGTTACAAAGGATGAATTATGAGATAATTGACCTTAGTTATTTTTAGGTAAATCCAGTTGGAATCATTACAAAGAACCTCATTTTTAAAGAGGATAATATTAATGCTAATATTCGTTTGTCATGGTAGGTGTGAGTTTATTCTCCTTTAGAAACTTTATTAGAAACAGTCACCTTTACAGAAAGCGTTCTGCTTCTGAAAATTTTAACATTACATTTAATGAAGATGGTGAGCCTGCCTGTTAGTGGCCATTTGAGGGCCTGCTCTTGTTCCAAACACTTTATAAATGTTATTGCCAGTTCTACAACAATCCTGAAGAAGACTGTTGCCAGTTCTACAGATGAGAAAACTGAGTGTTCACAGAGGTTAAGTAACTTACCCTGGGTCATACACTTAGGAAATAACAGTCAGGACGTGTTCCTGGGCCTGCTCTGCACGGACTCTCCCTGCTACTCCACACTGCCTGTCATGGTGCATTGCCTTTCTGATGACACGCTCCCACCTTCCCAGTACCAAGTACACATTTATGATTAGAAAAAAAATCGTGTTTGTGTATGTATATATGCGTCCGTGTGTGTGTGTGTGTGTATCATCCATATATATACGCATATATGAATACTCTTTAAAATAACATTAAAAATGTATCACAGGCAATAATAACTTGGTCAGCAATATGACTTGGCTTTAGGTGTCGCACTCCTGAATTATCACTTTCGCTAAGAGACCACAGTTAGGCTTTGTTTTTATATGGCTTATACTTTCACCTGATTCTGTCTCCTGTTATTCTCTCTCAGATTCCTTAACATCTTGAGGCTATGTACAAATTCTAATTTAATAATTTGTATAAAACATATATTTCTAGAAACCAAAGCTCTTTAGTACACACTGTTCTAAAAGATATTTTTATTCATTCTAAGAGAGTTTACTGACATTAGGATGTAGAAAATGTTGACTTCTATGCTGAACAAAAAGAAAAAATATACTTGAAGGATTGAGAGAAAAACAGAAGTATGTCTCCATTTTCACGAAAGGACATGGAGAGACAGGTCTAAGGAGGTAAAGATGACTACCATCAGTCCCAGTTTCACTAGTCCATTCTCTCCAAAATCAGAAAATGGAGGCAGAGCTTAATACGGATTTGAAGTTGTTCCCGTGGTCCCCTCCCTCCAGCTTCCTCCTCCTCACTCCACCCCCCAACCCTCCTCCCTCACCACACAGATAGCGTTAAGTTATTGGGATGTCAGAATTCAAGTGTGTCCATAGGCAATTTTCTGCCTGCATTTTGTGTGGATATTGTGGAAATTGCTTTTTTTTTTTCAATCTCTTGTATAATACTTTATTATCAGCGCCACTTTTCGAACAGGATTTGCTCACTTCGTGTTTCTTTGTCACATTTTGGTGATTCTCACAATATTTCAAACCAGCAAAACGTTGACTTGCTGAAGACTCAGGTGATGGTTAGCATGTTTTAGCAATAAAGTATTCTTAATTAAGGCATGTACATTGATTTTTTAGACATAATGCTATTGTACACTTAACGGACTACAGTATAGTGTAAACAACTTTTATATGCATTGCGAAATCCAAATTTCGTGGACTTGCTTTATTGTGATATTTATTTTATTGGTCTGAAACTGAACCTACGGTTCATATCACTGAGGTATGCCTGTATTCATAAATCTGCACATCTACTAAGAATGCCAATATATGGCGGTTTACAGTTGCCTGCTTTCTAATTTGCACTGGAAAGTGGAAGTTGCTTTGATGTCACTCTGTTCTTAATGTTTATACCACTTCATTAGATGAATATATACTTTATGTGATTCAAAAACTTAAGAACCTTTATCTGCTTGGACTATGTCGTCATAAGCCAAATATTTTTAATATATTTTTAGAATCTTAACTGTGTGCCTAAGATTTTATAAATATCATTAAGAATTTTGGTTGGAAATCTGAGATATACAAACATGCTTTTAAGTCTAAAAAGTAAAATGAAGCCGCTGATTAAAATTTAAATCAGTTACAGCTCCCAAATTTTGAAGAAAAACAGCATTTATATAAAATTTCTACCCTATAACAACTGTGAAAGCACAGAACTTGGCCCTTTAACATAATGTGTAATCATTATATATTTTGTATTCTTGTATTAGATCTAGTGCTAATTTGGGAGCAGCATTGTTTTCCTCTCAGTTCAACAAATATATACTTTGCACCTATTCTGTGTAAGATGCTAACATTAGGACTTCTGGTTTGGACTCAGGTCACGTCTTTTGTAGCTTGAAGTCATTCAGAATCAATAATCCGGTTGTCAAGAAAACTTGTTTCTATTCTGATTTCAGTGATGAAGAACGATACAGATACAGGGAGTATGCAGAAAGAGGCTATGAGCGCCACAGAGCAAGTCGGGAGAAAGAAGAACGACACAGAGAAAGACGACACAGAGAGAAAGAGGAAACCAGACACAAGTCCTCTCGAAGGTTTGCTCTTTAATAGTGAATCATTTTGAAGCCAAGAGAAATTGATTTGATTTCAGGAAGTAAAAGCAAACATTTCTAAGTAACCACTAGAGCATTATATGTGTTCCTAATTGGAAGACTATAGTTGGTTCCTTATAGGTTTCAACAAAGATATTGAGATCTAACCAGATTATAATGCCCATAAGCCAAAATTAGCATGGAATAAAAAATATGAGAATTAGACTTACTACATTATCTTGGATGCGGGGGGGGGGGGATTTGTCATATGAATCAGTTTTTAGTAGTAATTGTTATTAAACAAACTGATGTTCAGTTTAATCAAAGAAAATTCAGGGCCTTGTAGTCCCCCCCACCAAAAAAAAAAAAACAGCATTAAATTTTAATGCCTATTGTTTGCCTAAAATCAACTCTAGGAAGTATTTCCTATTCTGATCTAGTGCTTCAGTTTCTAATTTGTAATTAGTCTTTTAGAATGAAGTATATGGGCCCTAGTGGCCCTCTTGGCATAGTGGGCGGTGCGTCGGTCTCATAATCTAATGTATATGGTCCTTAGGGTTCTAGGAAAATATTAATGAAGGTGAGCATTAAATGTAAATATAATCTCAGCATAAAGGTCACATAAAAAATGATTACTCCCCAAAATGTGTTTGAGAAAAAGAAAGTATTAGATTATTTAAAACCCACTGTTATACCGAGAATTTACCTAAAGTAGGTTGATCCGTCACTACTTAAACATTTTTAAGAATACACCTTTCTTTTTTCTTTAGTAATAGTAGACGTCGCCATGAAAGTGAAGAAGGAGACAGTCATAGGAGACACAAGCACAAAAAATCTAAAAGAAGCAAAGAAGGAAAAGAAGCTGGCAGCGAGCCTGCCCCTGAACAGGAGAGCACCGAAGCTACACCTGCAGAATAGGCATGGTTATGGCCTTTTGTGTACAGTACTGCCAGAAATAGATACTATAAATCTTATTTTTCTGGATAATGTTTAAGAAATTTGCCTTTAATCTTGTTCTTTTAGTATGAAAAGTTAACTTTTTTCTTCTAAAATAAAAGAGTGAATTTTTCATGTTAAGTTAAAAAATCTTTTTGTCTTGTAATATTTAAAAAATAGACAGTAATGACTTTGTATTGAAGAAAGTAATGTGAATGAGTCACGCAGCAGGGAATTTAAAGAGCTATGTTTAGCTGTGTACATAATATCTGATTGATTGATAAAGGTCAAGGTTCCCACTTGGCCAGTTTCCTTGAGTTAGTTAGTTAATCAAATACCAGTCTCTTAAGAAGTTGCACTGCAAAATGCATCAAAAGGCACCTCTGAGTCTTGAGATTAAAACTAGTCTTTTATCACTGCTGTGGCACTGTTGCTTTGCATATTAAAGAACTCATACAGTTTTGATACTGCAACTTTTTTTGGTGTGTGTGTGGTATGCGGGCCTCTCACTGTTGTGGCCTCTCCCGTTGCGGAGCACAGGCTCCGGACGCGCAGGCTCAGCGGCCATGGCTCACGGGCCCAGCTGCTCCGCGGCATGTGGGATCTTCCTGGACCGGGGCACGAACCCGTGTCCCCTGCCTCGGCAGGCGGACTCTCAACCACTGCGCCACCAGGGAAGCCTGATACTACAACTTTTTGATTGATAGCAGGTTTTCAGTGTTCTAAATTTGGGTTCATGGTGAAACTAAAGGGGAACTTTTCTATCCAGAGTAATAAAATCTAATGGCATTTGGGTGACCTCTGAAATAACTTGCCCTAAATGTAGTTTCTGGCAGGCACGTGGACAAAATACTCGTCACTGTGACAAAAATTTGAATTGCCTCAAAGCCATCTTTTGTGAGCTAGGTCAAGCGGGTTTGACCTTTCTTGATGGTTCTTCCAAGGCTCATTGGTTGAGCAGCACGTAGAGTTTGTATAGTTACTAGCTATACTGTGAATAAAAATAAATAAGCTTTAGATTAGTCATTTCCCATTACATTTAAGAAAGTACAAGTTTATATAATTCTGTGAACATTTTTAGGGATAGCCCTTAGAAGGTATTTGTCAGTGATGGTAGCAACATCGTTTTGAAAGAATGAATTACTAGGAACTTTTAAATAGTGATAATAGAAATGAACTTAGTATCACATACTAAGAGACAGCTATATAATTTTTGAAAAATATTTATTTCTCATTTGATGAACATTTTTCAGCAATGCACTTTTAAAATCCTCTGTCTGGAAATTGTTTTTAAAATGCCCATAATGTACCCTTTGCAGACCTCAGCATATACCAGATTTTAATTTAACTGTATGATTTGAATTCAGTGGGGGCATACAAACCATGTCAGCTGTTTAAGAGCTTTTTATTGAATAGAAAAATATAAACTTAAAGTTCTAGAGTAATGAGAAATGCTCCACACTGAATAAAAACTATTAATAATGTTTCTATTTTGAGAATTATATTTTCTGAGGTGTAATTGGCTTTTCAGTAGATCCTACTTTTCCTGACATTTTTACATTGTAGCCTTCAAATACAAAAATCGATAAGATAAATACATTGTTTCAACTTAGCTTATTTGTGATTTCCTGTTTTTCTATGACCCATCATTGATTCTATAAAAAAGTGCCGGGCCAAGAAGCAATGGTGAGAGTAATTTTTCCTTTAAGTTCTTTTAGCATCCTTGCCAAGCAAGCATGTATCATTCCTGATGTACTTCTGCCATTGACAGCAAGAAGAATATCACCACATCTAAAAAAAATAAAGGTACATGATTAACATTTTGAGCCACAGCTGAAGTTAATGCAAGTTTTTTTTGGTGGTCCTAGTTTTTGCTCCATCTGTCAGTTTTAATTATGTTATCAGTACTTCTAATTAAGGTTCTCCCTCACTTAAATTCTTCCAATTCTATTGTTCAGCTTGTTTTAGAAAGAATGCTAAAAGTATAGGAAGTTGCTGTATGGGATCAAGAGTAACATCATTTTGGATTTCTTAGAAATGGAACGCTGCATAAATGTTTTAAATTTCTTACCAATAAAAAAAGATATAATAGGTGCCTTATTTCACATGGGGCCAGGCTTTTTGCATGTATAAAACACAACCTTTGGATATAAGTTTTTTGTTAAGTAGTCATTATTATTACCTGATTCTTCCATCGTTGTATGCTGGTGTTCCTTCAACAATGGATTTAATAAAAAAAGGTTTGTTCCCATTGTATTCTTCATAACCTCCTACAATGCAGAAGCCCAGACTTCCAGCTGTGTTTCTTCGCAGTATAACATCTTTACAGTTGTACAGGTACCTGAAATAGAACGAAATCAATGTAAATGCGCAGTTAATTCGAAACCATAGTAATTACTGTGATTCATCTCCCATTCCCTTTATTGGCATTATTTTTTTTAGGCTCAATAGCACTGGATGGGTCTCATTCAAAATTCTGTCACAGCCCAGTTACCTTTCTGCTTTTAGCTGGTTTTTTTTTTTTTTTTTTTCCGGTATGCAGGCCTCTCACTTTTGTGGCCTCTCCCGTTGCGGAGCACAGGCTCCGGACGCGCAGCCTCAGCGGCCATGGCTCACGGGCCCAGCCGCTCCGCGGCATGTGGGATCTTCCCGGACCGGGGCACGAACCCGTGTCCCCTACATCGGCAGGCGGACTCTCAACCACTGCGCCACCAGGGAAGCCCTAGCTGGCTTTTTCTAATTTTTCTAAAAATTTTTCTAATTTCTAATTTTTCTCTTTTCTAAAGCTAACCACCCTTTTAAAAGTGACACCATCTATTATGTTCTGTTTATATGTCTACTGGGAAAGAATCATTTCTGGCTTAAAGATTTAATTTCTCAACTTATATTAAAGTTATGCCTAAATCTTCACTGATGAACCACATTCAAGCATACTTACAGTTATATTTTTATTTCCTTATGGATGTAAATAATTTTTAATGAAGGAAAAATTCTTTGAATGGTTAATATCTCAGTGGAAAAAATTTAAATGTAACCCCAATTAATTCATTGGCTGAAGTTCTGACTTTTGAAAGATACCAGTTTGTACATAGTTTTACATGTTTGATAGGTTATATAGAAGCATGCAGGCAACGTACTATACTGAATGGAGATTGAGGTGCATTTAAAGATTGTAAGAATGATTCATACTGAAGGAGAAAAACCTGGCAGTAAACTGAATAGCAAGTTATAACAGGAATGGGAGAAAGACCACAGGTCTTTTGTAAATGGGTAGAACCCTCAGCTAAAATAGAAAATTTGATTGAGGAAGCTGTTCCTTTTATTATTCAGTGGCAGTTGGATCAGTGTTAACATAGGTGCAGGCTAAGTACAAAACTGTGTTACAGTTATGACAGAGGTATGTCAGGAGCTGGATTTGACTCCAAAATCCCCCAAGTCCAGGAACTGGTTTGAAAGAGAATTAGCATTTTCAGTGTTGGTAAAAGTCAAGATTTGGTGATTTTGTTTATAAACTGTACCTTGAAATACTAATTTTTTTGAAAAACCAATAAAAAGTCTCTTGAGAAATGTTCTGGTGATGAAGCTGGTCATTACATTTGTTACTGACCTTGCTAATCAATGTAACATGACTTTTTCATGGCATTTCAACTCCCATTTGAAGTAAAACAAGCTTTGGGTTTGTCTGGTGGGTAACTTTAAAATGTAGTGCTAAAATGCAACTCAGTTTTGTTTTGTATCTGTCGTCATACGTATATATCATTTACAATAATTTCTTTTGCTGAAATTATTGCTGAAAAATATGAATTCATTAAATGAAACAACCATATTTTTATTATAAAATATTCATTTGCTGTATTTCACAGTAATACTTGATGTTAGTAAATTCATCCTGTAGGAGTTGTGGTGTGTTTGATACCACATTTACACAGTGGCTCACTGACTGCTCATGTTCAAAGCAGGTAATTGTTCCCCAGACACTAGAGCATTGTGTTCCCACCTATGCCCAGTGTTTGGAGGAGAGCTGGTGGGCGCTTCTTACCCACGGTTATGATTAAATATGTCTTAACGTTCTTTAAAACATATAAATGGGTACATGGAGCAATACTCGAAACTTAAGTATTTCTCACCCTTTTGACCATTGGGTTTTTTCATTAATTATCACTTTGGACCTTGACTCTTAATATTTTATTCCATGTGGACAAGCTATAAAAATAATCATCTAAAATTTTTATGTTACCAGTACAAAAATTTCAACATAACATTAATGAGTCATTCTCATTTTCTTACAAGCATATGGTGACATTTTCCAGAGGACATGTGGTAAGTGATCTGGCAGGACACTGAATGCAGAAGTAGATATGAGAGTCCAGTTATCTTCTATTAAGCCAAACATTAAAGAGGTTTGCAAAAATCATTACACTGCCACTCTTGTAATTTTTAAAAATACTGCTTCTTATAAAAGATGTTATTTATGTTAATATATAATGGATTATTTTAAATGATTTAATAAAATTATTCAGATTAATTCATAAGGTAATCTATTAGTAGGTATAACCTATATAAGCAAAAGCTCTTGGGGATCATCAATACTCTAAATAAGTGTAGGGGTCTTGAAAAAAAACTTTGGGAATTGCTGCTGTAGACATGTTTATCAAACTTGATGTTCCACTGGTATCTCAACCTCAGCATGTCCAAAACAACTAGTATCTCCTCATTCTTCCTTACTGTGTAAAATAATTACATGAGTGGCCCAAGTCATCACCCTTCCCTGGTATCATCCGTGCCACTTATTGTATAATTTTGTGGTGCCCCCCTCCGATTCTGGATTCAGCCATAAGGTCATCAGTGGGACGTTGGCCAGAGCCAGCCAAACCTAGACACAGGAGCATGGCCAACCAAGATTAGCAGAGCCACCTAAACGACCCAGAAAGGACTGCAAATGCATGAGGGAGCCAGCCAAGATCAATCACGCCTGGCCTGGATCAGCTGAAGCTGATCTGTGTCTGATGTTCCCTGTGGAATGGGCATTCTGCACATCAGAGGGGCCGCTCACTGTGGGCCCAGGGTTCTGCAGGCTTGGCCTGCACGCTCCAGATGTGGGCAGCCTCACTTCCATCTTCCCTCTTCGACTTTCACTTTCTGCTACTGAGGTTTTGTGGCTAGTTTGTTACATAGCATGATTGTGAAAAGTAACTGATATTCTTAACTCTCCTAGTTTGGTTATGTCCTCCAGCTAGATGAAACATACCACCATTCACTCCAGTGTATTTTCCAGGTTCCCAAAGCACCCTGTGCCTACGTAATATTTTAATTATAACTTCTTTAATTCATAATTTTTAATAATTTACTATGACATGTTGTTGCTTACTGTATTATGAAGGCCATGAGGGCTATTCCTAGAACCTACTCTATTGATTATTTCATTCAACAAATGCCTGCTAAGCAGAGCCATTTAAAGACC